CTTAAACACACATTGAACCTCTCATAGCCATGGCTCTTCAAGTAGAATTGTATTCTTAGAGACCTCATTTATAGCTGTTCAAATTGGAGTGATCAATGCTTGACTTATGACTTCGGACTTAACTCTGCTGCTGCAAGTTGGCAATCAACAGAGATCCAGAGTAGAAAGACAGTTTCATGAGAATAACCTGATCTCTCCAACTGGCTGAAAACATTTGTGGAATAAAGATTTGTTTCTGCTGATTGATGTTTTTAGCTATGCCTTTGTTTGTGCCTTGGACATAGTTATTATCCAGTCTGGGGAAAGATAGTCCCATGAAGCTGGGATGCCATGAGCAGCCCCCTCTGTGGGCCCCAGGTTGATCCTGGGCCTGCCCTGGGTGGCTGACGGCGGTGCTCCCAAGCGCTGTTGGAGGCGCTGTTATTCTCCTGGGGAATTCGAGTTCTAGCTGGGAGGGAAATTAATGATTGGAGAGCACACATGGCTTGTTTATGTTCCCTGTTCTAAGCATTGAGATTATATGGGTGGGTGTACCGGGAAAGGCTTCTTGGAAAGGCGATTACATGAGTTGCTTTGATGCTAGGCGGCATCATCTGTCTGCTGGAAAGTAGGACCTGACAGGAACAGAGGAGGGATGGGGACACTCCAGGGACCAGGCGAGTCTGCCGGGAGCTTGGCCAGGGTGTGTGTGTTAGGGTAGGGCTGGGTGGGGAAGTGTGTAATGCGCCAGATGGCTTCTACCTACTTGCCTTTAAAACACACACAACACGACCTTTTCCCCTTGAGGATTTTAGAAATCAGTGCCGAGGCCCGGGGAAGCTTGGCCATCAGGCTCTACTTATTTCAGTGATGGCCTAAGTTTCTTTCCTTCTTTTTTTTTTTTTTTTCCTTTATGAAATCTTAATTCCAATTTCTTTCTTCAGTCCCTCATTTTTTTCCCCTTTAATCAAATCTTGGTGGCTGTTTTGAAGCAGGCATTGGGAACACTCCTCCTATAAGCATGAGCACATCTTAGTAGGAGACACAGACCTCTGTGGCCTGCCCTGAAGAGGAGCATGTGGCTGGCCGTGGGCACGTGTGGAGTGGGAGCCCTGCTTCGTGGCCTACACAGAAGGGCCAGAGCAGGCTTTCTGAAGATGGGAGACCTCAGCCGAATCTTGAACGATGAGTTCTATTTTAGCTATTAAAAAAAAAAGCACAACTGCCCTGGAAGACACCATTCACACAGCCAGCCCCTCCACCCCACCCAAGAGGCTGCTGGGAATAACTGGAGCGGTGCTGCCAAAGAAGTTTGGAGAGTCCTCCCCCACTGAAAAAGAGAAGAAAGAAGGCAACCTTTTTTTTGGAAGAAAAACATTTGCCAGAGATCATGGGTTTTGGCAGGTTATATTTTATAGCATGCAGCCTTTTAGTGTAACATGAAGAGCGTGTCAAGTTCAGGTGTATTTGTGTCATTGAAGCACATTTTATTTAACACCATTAAATATAATCGTGGGAAGAGTTCAGGTTTCCTTAATGCCTGGGGAGAAACACTGGGCTGGATACTTCGAATTTGTTTTATTGTTTAGTTTTCACAATGACCCCCGAGGTGGTGTTTTGTGCGTATTATTGAGGAAGGAAGGAAGGAAAGCTCCGAGAATGAAGTGCGCAGCTTCACATAAACAGCAAGCCGCCGTCGACCTGGAGTTGAAACCCAGGTGCGTTTGACATAGAAGCTCAGGAGTTTTCCACTATGGGAACACTCCTTCCCCAGGGAAAAGAAAGAGTCTTGTCGGCAAATCAAATACAAATTTGCCTTGTCAATTGGAGACTTAACGATTACCTTAGGGCAGGTAATTAGCATGAAAGTGAGAGGAACAGGACAGAGCTTGGGACACGGTAAAAGCCCCGTAAGGCTGCGCACCTCAACCATACCTCGGCTTTCTGTTGAAACTGCTCTCTAACCCAAATGGGACAGGCAAGCAGTCCAAACCCATGCCGTCTGGGCCCCTGCAACTTGTAATAAGTAATTAAGGACTGTAATTTCTACCCTACCCAGACAATGTGTAAACAAATGCTAATCTTGACTTTTGTGAACCACTTAAGTAACAATCAGAATGTCCCAAGTCCCCTGGCCCTCAGGAATGTCCAGAGCCCCTCACCCTCATCTTCCCCCAAGAATCCACTGGAATGTCCCGAGCCCCTCACCCTCATCTCTGCCCAGGAGGTGATTTACAGAATCCACTATCCCTCAGAACGTCTGAAGCCCCTCACCCCCACCCCTGCCCCTCACCCTCACTCCCAAGGTGGTTTTACGAGTATAAAAGGTCTTGACACCCTGCTTTTGGGGCCAAGGGTTGGAGAGACATTAGTCCTCCGTGGCCGCCGGCAATAAAGACCCTGCAATTTGACATACTTTTGTCTTGGTGTTGACTTTCTTTGCTGGGGCCAGTACAACAATCTGACCCACAGATCACTGCATTGAGGGTCCTGTTTGGTCTGCCAGTACAACAATCTGACCCACAGATCACTGCATTGAGGGTCCTGTTTGGTCCTGCTTCCACAGCCCTGCCTTAGCAGAGGAGACAAGACAGCCAGCTCTCCAGGCTTCTTCTTTCATCGTCTTTTTCTCCTTTCTAGTCTCCACTGTGGACACCACTCTGTTTAGTTTTTTCATGGAACAGCTGAGCAGCAAAATGGCTGGAAACACTATCCTGGGTCTCTTGTCAGGCCTTGGATGGAATCCCAGCACCGGCACAAGCCAGGGGGATTTGGCTATGTCTGTGGAGACCCAACTGCAAAATTATGACACACAGAGCTGGGACTTTGCTGTTTCTTTCTTGCCCAGAAGCAGCTTGGGTTTAACTGAAATGGCAGCTTAGTCCCAAAAAGAATAGAAGACATTTTGAAGGATCTGCCCGCTAACCTTTCAGTTCTAAGACTGTGACTTTCACAAGTACTGGAACCTTGTCTGCCTTATTTTCTGCACCCCCATGTGTGCAGAGCCAGGCCTGGATGCTGATGAGCTCAGCAGGGGTTGGAGAAACACCTACTCCAACAGTAGGGTGCTGGCCGCATGCAGCGATGGCTGAGAAGGCCCCGCGCCCGGAATCCGGACCTGCAGGCTCACAACCCCTGCCTCTGGAAGACGAGTGCAGAGTCATTTTTGGAACTCTGATCACAAATCATAAAAATGCTCCCAGTGACCCTGGTGTTGCTGCCATGGTTTGGACGGACACATGCCACGTGCTGGCTTAGACGCCTTCCATAGCGGGTCTCACTGTCTCAGTTTAACCACATTCCTGCAAGACAGGCAATCTTAACACTCACTCCCTCGCTAGGGAGGAGCCTGAAGCTCTGAGAGAGTGAGTACTTTCCTCCAAGGCCACACAGCTGGTAACAGGTGTTCTTACTGAGAAGGTGGATTCCATCAGACGGGATGCACGGGCCTCTCTGCCTCCCCCCTCCTCCTTCCGCATCCTCACTCTGCCTTCCGTTAAAATGGAAGTGTCCTTCGACAGAGGGAACACTGGAAATGCCTTCCTTTGTGCCTCTCCTCCTCCACCCATTCCCTGCCGCAGTCCCTCCACTTCCCTGATGGATTCGTGGCTGTCTCTCCTTCTCTCTCTCTCTGGGCTCATCTCCCTCCGTGGAGCTCTCTTCTCCTTCTCCTTGGAGGCTGTGCTCTCCTGGTTTTCTGCCTGCTTTCCTGTGCTTTCTAGCTCAGCATCTTTTACCAGCCTCTCTCCTTGAACTCTGCTGGACACTGACGGGCTCCGGGTCCTTCTCCCTGATCTGTGTTCTCTGTCTTGCCTTCTTCCTCGGTAAACTCATCCGGTCCAAGGCGGTGAGAATCATCTTTTTGCCAGCAGCTCCCAGTTTATTTCTAGCTCTGAATAGAAGTTTGCCGTTGACTCCAAACTGGGTTCTCTCCACCCAGCCCATTTCTCTGCCCGGTCTTCCTCTGAGTAAATAGCACCACCCAGTTGCTAAGAATCCAGGAGCCACCTCGGAGTTAGCTTTTTCTCTCAAGCCCCGTGTGCAATCCAGCAGGGCCTGGCGATTCTCCCTCGGGTACCTCCTGACTCCCTTTTCGTCCTTCTGTCTTCACCGGGATCACTGCAGCCCATGCTGCCGCCTGCACAGCTTCAGCCATGGCCTCTAACGGGTGTCCCTGTGCTTCGCTGTTGTTCCTGTATAATCATTTCTTCCCACAGCAACCAGAGTGCTTTCTGCAGCCTTGTAACGATTGCGGGCTGCTTATGCTTCAGGCCCTGTCGGAGGGCAGTTCATCCTTAGGTCGGTAGTGTTGCACCTGCGCCTTTCGGATGGGGAAGGAAGCGCAGAGCAGTTCATTGATTTGTCCAAGATTGAAGCTGGGGTGAAGCGTGAGTCAGTGCTTTTGAATCTGGTCCCTCATCTCCTTGAAATGCCCCCAGGGTCTGTCTTCTCCTGGGCCTGAAGGCTCCTAGCGGCCCCCGCCTCCTCTCCTACCACGTCCTCCCTCTCCCCTCCTGCCACTTCGCACTCTGGGTTGTTTTCAAGCTCTTCATAACCCCCACAGGGACTTTTCCCCAGCGGTTCCTGCTGCCCAGAGCCCTTCCCTGTCACTTGTTCGTACGGCCGGATGCTTCAACCTGGTCTCTTGATGTGAAGTAACCCCCCACCATCTTTTATTCTTTGAAGCACTTACTGTTGTCTCACGTTGCCGTCATTCTTTTGGTGACTGTCATTGTTCATGGCGATATAGAAATTCTATGGAATGAAACTCGATGCCAGCAGGAAATGCAGATGCATGTTCCACACCCTGTGTCAGTACCAGTGTTGACAGACACTTGGTGAGTGGATGTGTGGGTGAATGAACAAATGAGCACCTGGCACCCTGGGTCTCAGAGCCGGGTGCCGTTGAGCCTGTGAATTTCCCTACTACGCCATGTGCCTCTGTCTATATAATTCATGGTTCAAGCCTTTAAGTATCTCTGCCTTTGGGCATACTCAAAGGGTGTCTGTCCTTTTTATAGGTGATCAAAGAAGCCTACAGTGGCTGTAGTGGGCCCGTGGACTCAGAATGTCTTCCTCCACCCAGCTCCCCGGTGCACAAGGCAGACCTGGAGAAGGTAACGATGTTGCTCCTGCTGGGGGTCGTCACCTCACAGTGGATTTAGGTCTCCCTCAAAGTTCGATAACATTCTCTGAGAATTTCAGGCGGGTGGATCACGAGGTTAAGAGATCGAGACCATCCTGGCCAACATGGTGAAACCCCATCTCTACTAAAAATGCAAAAAAATTAGTGGGTCATGGTAGCACACACCTGTAGTCCCAGCTACTCAGGAGGCTGAGGCAGGAGAATCACTTGAACCCCAGAGGCAGAGGTTGCAGTGAGCTGAGATTGCGCCACTACACTCCAGCCTGGGCGACAGAGCAAGACTCTGTCTCAAAAAAAAAAAAAAAACAAAAAAGGAAAGAAAAGAAAAAATGCAATCATGCTTCCCATCCTTTTAACTGCCTGCTTTGTGCTAAGCTTGAGGTAGTCATTCTAAAGACTGTGTAGTTAGTTTTGTTACTTCCAGCTGCAGATGGAAGAAATGGATTTACAGGTGTGAGGGCCTTGTTCAAAGTCACATAGCTATTAAATGGCAGAGCCGAAGTCTGAAGGCAAGCCTGTATACTTCTGGAATGCAGCAGGCACTTCATAAATGTACTTTCCCAGAGTTCTCCGCCTCCCTTTTCTTTGCACTCTTGTTGCCTGTTGGAAGGCAGAAGAGCACAGCAGTGGACGGGGCTGGCCTGTCATCTGTACACCCCTTTTTGTCGGGAATATATAGAGCCCATCACTGTTCCTCCACGGCCCCGCTCTGACTGCACTGTGTTTGTCTAAATATGACTGATGTCGTTTCCTTGGCAGCCCCCGGCTTCCTGCCATGAAACCTGCTGGCAGCTTGTGTCCCAGGGGCTTTCTGAGCCCTCCCTCTCTAGCCCCCTGCCAGTGAAGAGACAGAGATCCTGTTTTGTCTGTCCTTGTGTGAGTCAGGATTCTCCAGAGGAGCAGAATTAATGGGATGTATGTATGTAGAAACAGATTTATTATAAGGCATTGGTTCACATGCTTACGGAGCGTGCAAGTCTGAAATCTGCAGTGTGGGCCACAGTGGGAGACCCAGGAGAGGTGCTGGTGCAGCTGAAGCCTGCAGGAATTTAAGGAGAATTCACTGGCTTAGAGAGGCCAGTGGTTTTGTTCCATTGAGGCCCTCAACTGATTGGATGAGGCCCACCCACATTATAGAAGGCAAGCTGCTTACTCAGAGCTCCCTAATTCAATTGTTAATCTAATCCCCAAGTGTCCCCCCTATTGACACATACAATTAACCATTGCAGTCCTTATCCTGATACTGAAGGGAACAGGCTGTTTTTCCCCTGACTTTAAAATCAATATCTGCTCACTTCAGAAAATTCAGAAAGCATAGAGAAACACAAATAGGATGAGAAAAGTCATTCATTGCTACAGCACATAGAGGGTGCAGCTCCTCTTAACGATCTTGATATATTAACCCCCTTTTCCCCTGAGTTTATGGGTTTCTTTTATGGTTTGGAGAATCTTAGGCATAAAGTTTCTTGTACTCCTTTTTTACACTTAACCTTTGTATTACTAGCACATTTCCAAGTTTTTAACAACTCTTAAGCCACACACATTTTTACATTTTCATTAGCTTAATGTCAAATTTGTATGACTCTACTATCACTTACATAGCTGCCCCCCGTTAACTGTTTTGTCCGTTTTTAGGCCATCTAAAATAAAATGGTACTTGACATCTTTTGCATAATTTTTGCTGATTCTCTGCCTATTACTTGAGAATAGATTTCTGGAAGCTGAATTATTAGACCAAAGACCTCTTTTTCTTTTTTTAAGATTTTTGATTCATGTTGAAAATCAAATTGTTTTCCCTAAAGGTTGGTGCGGTTTCATTTTTCATCATAGGGCATCCAAGCCCCTCGCCCACGCACTCACACCAGAATCGGTGATTCCGCCGTACTTCCGTGGCTTCCTGAGGCAGTACTGTGAGCACGTGGCTGGATTCCTGGGATGTTCCTGGGGTGAGAGCCAGGGCGGCGCCCGTGTCGGTTATTGTATCACCGGAACTCAGCTTCCCTCTAAGTGGCGCTCATTCTTTCACTGCAGCTATTACGGGATTGCCTCTTGAATTCCATGTTGAACACGCGTGTTCCTTTGTGCCTGGGAACTGCTACATACCTCAGCTGGCCAGTCTCCACGGCCCTGGGGTGGAAGGCGCAGGATCTGAGGACGGTGTTTGGAGGCCACTCCCTCCTCTGTGACCCCACAGGTGCTTGGGTGGCAGTAGAAGGAGTCTAGCTGCAAACACCAGACCTCATTCAGCTGCTAACATGGAACCCTAATTACGCTCATTAAATCCAGAGGTTTGGACTGAGACAGTGACAGTACCCCAGCCCCCTCCATAGGTTTTGATAGTAACCTTGTCCCCACTCTGTACATTCTGAGTGTACCTGTTGCAAACAAATGCTTGACACTCACCCAATTAATTATTGGTGAATGACAGGAATAAATTAAATGGACTATGGAATAGTTACTTCTGCAAGGATAGTATGGCTTGGTGAGGGAAATATTTTTTGGAATCATAATATTTTTTCAAAATCATTTACAAGAAGTGATTTGAATGAAATAGGCATGAGACTATATATATATATATATATATATAGGTTAGTATAATTATAACCTCAGTGAGGTTTTTCTTGTTTGTTTTGTTTTTCCCTTTTCTTTTCTTCCTTTGGATGTTTTTAAGGCAGTTGTAGCCACCCAACCAGCCCGTCTTTGTTATGGTTAAGCTCTAACTACTTCTGGATTGCTATGAACTTGGCCCATGTTTTCTTTTGCTTTTGAGATGACTTTTGGTTGATCCATCACACATCACTTGGTCCGAGTGACCCCTGTAAGAATAACTTAATCCTTTTTATCCTTTCAGAAACTGTCTTCAGAGAGACCCAGCTCAGATGGGGAGGGTGTGGTGGAAAATGGAATTACCACATGTAATGGAAAGGAGCAAGGTGAGTTCTGTCTGTGTCAAAAATACACAAACTTAAAAAAAAAAAACAAACCACACAGCCAGGTTTGCAAAGTCCAGTTGTAGGAAAAATGTCCCAGGTGATGACGATGTGTAGATTTCGTCGTCATTGCAGATGACCCTGATGGGAGTACCCAGAAAACCCGTGAACCTCAGCCCTGCAGGCCTCCCTTTTCCATCCCGCCAGACCTTGGCCGAGGCTGCTCCGTCTTTTTCTGCCCTGCACGTGTTTTGAACTCATGACTCATAACAGGTTATTTCTTCACTTGATCTATCACGGAGACAAATTCGCATTGGTGAGTAGCCGGCATGTTGCTTAGGGACCTGGTGTCCAGTGAGAAGAACTTTGGATAATGAAGCAAGAAACCCACTTTCTCATCGAGCTCCGTCTGCTTAGCCATATGATCTTGAGCAAATATTCCTTAATACGCCTCAGTTTCCCCATCTTTAAAATGAGGAGGCCAGACCTGCAGATTCTGAGATTCTTAAAAAAGATTTTCGGAAAATGTCTTTATTTTGCCTTCATTTAAAAATTGTTTGTTTGTTTTTTGAGACGGAGTCTCGCTCTGTCACCCAGGCTGGAGTGCAGTGGCACGATCTCGGCTTACTGCAACCTCTGCTTCCCTGGTTCAGATGATTCCTCTGCCTCAGCCTCCTGAGTAGCTGGGATTACAGGCACGCACCACCATGCCCAGCTCATTTTTGTATTTTTAGTAGAGATGATGTTTCGCCATTTTGGCCAGGCTGATCTCAAACTCCTGACTTCAGGTGATCCACCCGCCTTGGCCTCCCAAAGTGCTGGGATTACAAGCATGAGCCACTGCGCCTGGCCTCATTTAAAAATTTTTAAAGATTATACACAATATAAAAAATACATAATGTAAAATTTATCGTATTTACCGTGTTTCAGTGTACAGCTCAGTGTGTTAAGTACATTTATGTTGTACCATCCTCACCACTAGTCTTCAGAACTCTTCATTTTGCAAAAGTGAAGCTCTTTTAAACACCGACTCCCCATTCCCTCCTCCCCCAGTCCCTGGCACCCCATTCTGCTTCCTGTCTCATGAGTCTGACTGCTCCAGGGACCTCATTGAAGTGGAGTCCTACAGGCTGCCTTCTTCTCTAAGTGCTTATTCCACTTAGTTTCATGTGCTCAAGGGTCACCTGTGATGTGGCAGGTGTCAGAATTTCTTTCCTTTTTCAGGCTGAATAATATTCCATTGTATAGACGGACTGCATTTTGTCTGCCCATTTATCCGTTGATGAACATGTGGGTGGCTTCCGCCTTTTGGTGAGCGTGAATAATGGTGCTGTGCACATGGGTGTGCAGATAATGAAGTCTCCCTTATGTTTTGCACCCAGCTTTATGGAGATAGAAACTACATGCAGTGAAATCCACCCTGTTTGACATAGTGTTCTGTGAGCTTGGACAGCACTGACGGGCATGTAACCATCACCACAGTCAAGATGCGGAGCGTGGCTCTAACCCCCAGCCCCCGCCGCGCTCCTGTGCCCTTTTCTCTCCCGTCTGCCTGGGCCTCTACCCCGGGCCTTGGCAGCTGCTGCTGTTTCCTGCTCTTTACCAGAATGTCGTCACGTGGAGGCATCTCGCTTGCAGACCTTCGAGTCTGGCTTCGCTCACCCCGCGTGCCGCGCTGGAGAGCCGTCCGCGTTTGCGGCTGGCGTCGGCCGCTGCTTCTTTGCTGCCGCGGACGGCATGCCATCGTGTGGATGGACCGCAGTGAGTCCACTCGCCGCTTGAAGAACATTTGAGCCGTTCCCACTTCGGGGCGATGGTTTAAAAATCTGTTCTGTGGATTCAGAGACAGGTTTTTGCATGGACACATGTTTTCATTTCCCTTGGGTGAAATAGCCGGGAGTGTGTGGCTTGGTGCAGCATCAGGATTGTCACTTTGGTTTCTCTCTTTCTGTGTTAGCCGTTTCGACAGGGGTGTGGCGGTATGCGACTGTGTGTGAATCTGCATTTCCCCGGTAACTAACAGTGGTGAACATGTTTTTAATGTGCTTATGTGCCATCAGTGTAACTTCTTTGGTGAAATGTCTCTTCAGCTCTTTTGTTCATATTTTTATTGGATTATTTGTGCTTACTGAGTTTTGAGAGTTCTTTGTATTTTCAGAATACAAAAATACAAGTCCTTTATCAGATGTGTTTTGTACATACGTCCTCCCAGTCTGTGGCTGGACCTGTCATTTCCTTAGCCATGTGTGGACGGAGGTGAAGGGCATGACTTGCGGGTGGGGTGGGAGTGTTCCCTCTGCAAAGCCAGACGGCCTGTGTGCTCACTGAACCTGTGACCTTGGTGGCTCAGCTGAGGAATCTGACCACCCGAGCCCACCGGCCCACTCGTGGGGTGAACCAAGTGTTTCCTGTTTCTGTGATGAGATCACCTTAAGCCAAGTAGCGATCCAGCCCACGAAGAATCTTGGAGCTCAAATAATCTGGACTGTTGTGACATGACAGAGTTCACTCTCAGAGGTCACGATGCCACTTTTTTCATATGTGGTTTTCTGAGTCTGTCCTATCTGAGTGTAATTTCGGTTCTATCCATCGGAAGTTATTCAGTGGAAAGTATTATCGGTGTCTTCCACAGGCACACATTATGTGTAATCAAAACCAGGAAAGCTGTCTTTAAGTTTTGCCCTGAAATAAAATAACATACAATCTCAATGTTCCTACTTAGAAGTCGAGGCTCAGCAGACGTTGGTTTGGTTGGCCCATTCTCTGGTTTGCTGTTTCTTCTTCCAATGCACCTATTAGGTTCTGCAGAATAATATGTGTGTTTGGAGGTCCTTGTAAGCAGAGTATCTATATTTAACATTTTCCTGCTCCCTCCGAGCAGGAACGACCTTCTGTACTTTGGTAAATGGTGGCGACCTTGCTTTACACAGTTCCTTTTTGTCTGGCACGGTGCTTTACACATAGCAGACACTCAGTAGTTACTGGAGAAAGTTAAGGTTTCAGTATATTCTAACCTTCTTTCTTAGCTTTTATTCTTACCTCTCACTCTTGACCAGTTTGCAGCTAAGAGATTTCAGTTAAACTCCTTCTATCCCAGCCATGTTGTGACTCAGGCACATTTTTCTGCTGGCTACATAGAGAAAATCCTGAACTCATACAGATTTTTCTTAGTGTTAGAATCTCAGCTGAACAAAGAAACAGTCCAGGCTCCCTGTGGTCAAAGCCCCAGGGAACGACTCTGGAACTCCTGTTTCTTCTGTCAAGGTGGAATCCCTCCTGTCTAATAAACCAATGCAATGTGGCTGGTCCTGCTGATCCCGCAGCAGGTGTGAGGAGTGCGGGCTGAGGAGGCCCTGGGACCGTCTGCGTGGGAGCCGTGGGACTCCTCAGCCCCGCTTCACATCCGTAAGGCGCGGTCATTTGTGAATGTGTCTGCTGGTAGAGGTCCTTGAATAAATAGTCTGATGGCATTAATTCTCATGGCCCCTATTCCTCCCAGTCGCCTAAATTTTCTAAAGCGCTGAATGCCCATTCCCATAGGATACTGGGAAAGTGTGGGTTTATGATACTCGTGGCTTTAGAGAGTGCCCGCATTAGCCCTGCTCCAGTGGTGTGTGCCAGAGCCTGCCCACCCCACCAGCCAGCGCGTGCCTGGACACTCCAGCTCTCTACTCCCCAGCTGCAGGGGATTCAACGTTGAGTGTTCAGTTTTTCTTCCCGGTTCTGTGATCTGTGCTCACCTCTGCCTTTGTTTGATACAGAGCATCAAGTTGTTCTTGACGGTTTTACCCTAGTGTTCCCACGTACTTGGACTTTTTCTTCCAAGGATTACCTTACTTCTGCTTTTGTAAAAAGCGACTCAGGGAGTATTCAAGGAATTAAGAGTTTTCATTATAGTCTCATTTCTTTGTAGTCAGAGTTCAGCAAGCACTTTGTCGGCAGAATTGGGCTTTCATCTGAAACGCCGGCTCGCTGCCGGGGGTGGCATTGTCTGTGGGGATGCCTCTTGCTCCACCAGCCTTCCTCAGGGTGCCCCGGGCACTCCGGTTGTCCTGGCCAACAGGAGCTTCTTCATAAAGCTCGCCAGAACGGGGCCGCGGTGAGACACCATCCTCTGGAGCTTCAGAAACAGCTGGGAGGGGCCGTCCACTCCTGCTGTCCCTCTTGGTTGGTGGAAGTGACGCTGAAGTGATACAGCTGTCCCAGCTGTGTTCCTCTCTGATGGTGGCTGGGAGGAGCTGTGCCCTCAGACTCAGGGATCGAAAGCGAGGCTTGGTGCTTTATTTTAAAAGAGGGTGTGTGTGTTGGGAGAGTGGGAAGAGGGGTGGGGGTGGCATTCCCGGGTTGTTTCTCATATCACATGAGGCCTAAGTCTGATTTGTTTAAAATGACACAAAAATGCTGGGACTATGTTGTAATAGTCATCTTGGCCTGCCGTAACAGAATCCCACCGACTGGGTGGCTGAAACAGCACGCGTTTAGACGGTCCCGGAGGCTGGAGTCCGAGACCCAGGCGCTGCCAGCGTTGGCGCTGTGAGGGCTGTCTTCCTCAAAGGCGGCTTCTCCCACGGCCTCCACCCGGCCTTCCTCCCGTGCTGGTGCGGCGCTTTGTAGAAGGACACAAATGCTACGGGCCCAGGACCTCACGGGACGCTGGAGACAGGTGGGGGTGTTCTGCCACCCTCACGCGTTTGGCTGTGGTGGGGGCAGCAGGGTGGAGGTAGAAGGACGACTTCCCACCCCCATCAGAGAGAGCTGGGGATTAGAAGGATAAGGAGACTGCATGTGTGTTTAGAGGAAGGGTCTAGGAGTCAGGCCAGGGCGTGGCCTCCTGTGTCCCTGGCCTCTGTGCCTCTGCAGTTCTTCCGTGTGATCTGTGCAGGTGTCCATTTGTCCATGGGGCGGCGGGGGGAGGGAGTCCTTGACGGTCATCACCTTCTGAAAGGGTCTGTGAGCTCCGAAGGCGTGCAGACCGCAGGTCGAGGGGTTCACACTGGAGATGAAGGGGAAGGGGTCTGGGCAGAGGGGTTAGGCCATGGCACTGAGGATCTCTCTGTCCCCTCATCTCCAGTGTAACCTGCAGTGTCGTTGTGTCCCCAGCACCGGTGTCCTGAGTGCCCTGCTGGCCTCCCCTCAGCTCCAGTGCCAGGCACATAATGGCCCTGGGGGGATGAGATGGGCAGACAGCCCACCTTCTCTGAGGGCTGCTCTCTGGTCCAGAGGGTCTTGTCGTTTGGTTCTGGTGCTTTCTCACATGCACGTTCTGATTTCGTGCCTGATCGGTGTCCCTGTCATTCTGTGGGCGGTCACGGACAGAGCCTGCGGGGATGGAGAGAGATACCAGTGACAGGGTGGGGCAGATACAGAATGCCAGCTGGCAACTGATCCTGGGCCTCTGTGGTGGGAGACGGTGGGGTGATGAGAACCGCCCCATGTTGTCCCTCACTGTCCCATCTGCGTGGAAACTGCTTCTGTGGTCCTGCCGCTGTTACTTGCCCTAATGCGGGTCCAGAGTCGCTAGGTCTTTCCATTTTTCAAAGGAAGCCAGGCATCATGTTTATGCATAATGTGTATGAGTTTTATGTACCAACAATGAACTCCAGTTTAACACTGTGCTGGCTAAACCAAGCACAAGGGGCTGGAAGGCAGGCACCTGGTCCGAGAGCTCTGGATAGGGCTGAGTCGCGTGAGTGTCACAGATGCACAGGGGACCCCTGAAGAAGACCCGATTCCCCTTCCCTTCCTGGCCTCCCCTTGCCAGCAAGCCCGTAGCTGTGCTAGCTGCCCTCTGCTCCTCAGACTGTCTCTGCTGCTTTCAGCCTGACAGCTTTTGTGTCATTGATGGTTTTCTTGCCTGGACGCCTCTTCTCCCTGAGAGGTACATGGCTAGTTACCAGTTTAAGTCAGCCCCTGGACGGGCTTTCTTTGACTGCGCAGCTGCTCTTCCATACAACCCGATGTTAGATCTCCATGTGGTCCTTGTCACAAGCTTCCTACGAGCAGCCCTGTGCTCTGCTGGAATCCCAGCATCTAGACCAACAGCCAGCACATAGCGAGTGCTGCTTAACTAAAAGTCGAGGGAAAGGGTAGGTATGGGGGCTCATACCTGTAATCCCAGCACTTTGGGAGGCCAAGGTGGGTGGATCACTGGAGCCCAGGAGTTTGAGACCAGCCTGGACAACATGGCGAAACCCCATTTCTACAAAAAGTAAAAAAATTAATCAGGCATAGTGGCATGCACCTGTGGTCCCAGCTACTCCAGAGGCTGAGGTGGGAGGATCAGTTGTACCCAGGAGTTTAAGGCTGCAGTGAGCTGTGATCACAACACTGCACTTCAGCATGGGAGCCGGAGCGAGACCCTGTCTTTAAAAAAAGAAAAAAACTTTCTAGGGAAAGAAGAAGTGGGTGGTGATTTATGTTTTAGTTTTTCAATTAATATCTACAATTGAAACATGCTTTTATTGCTGTTGTTATTCTTGACAGTGAAGAGGAAGAAAAGTTCCAAATCAGAGGCCAAGGGCACTGTGTCGAAAGTCACTGGGAAAAAAATCACCAAGATCATCAGTCTGGGGAAGAAGAAGCCATCCACAGACGAGCAGACCTCCTCGGCCGAGGAAGACGTCCCCACGTGCGGTAAGGCTCGCCGACCCGGGAGGAGCGGTGCGCGCCCGAGTGGGCGGTACTTTCTCCCGCGGTGCAGGCTGTACCACGTTCGTCCAAGGCTCCTTAGTTCAAGCTGTTTTGCACTGGACTTGGACTCATTCAGATTGGGGAAATGTGTTAAATGTTTACATGTTTACCTCTTATTCATGCAAGACTTTGCAGGAGTTTGAGATGATCTCTAAGGTTCTTTTAAGGAAAAAAAAAAAATCCCTTTGATCCTCTGAAGTTCTCCCAAATCCCTTGGAAGTGTTTTGAAAGGCGAGCATATGCAGGGGCTGTTGGTAAACAAAGGAGTATGGGAAGAAGTTTCTAGAATTAAGGTCAGGTCTTTCCCTTTGGCACAGTGAGGAAACCCAGCTTTCTGATGATGTTACTGTGCTAGTCACTTTCATGTTGCTGCAAAGGAATGCCTGAGGCTAATTTATAGAGAGAGAGGTTTCTTTGGCTCACGGTTCTGCGGGCTGTGTAAGTACGGTGCCAGCATCCGCTCAGTTTGTGATGAGGCCTCAGGAAGCTTTTACTCATGGCAGGGACAGGAGGGGAGCTTGTACGTCACATGGCAGGAGAGAGGGAGGAGCAGGAGAGGGGAGCAGGTGCCAGGGTCCTTTAACCATCAGATCTCGCAGGAACTACGAGTGTGAGAACTCACTCACTGCTACAGGGAAGGCTGCAGGCCATTCATGAGGGACCTGCTCCCGCAGGCACCTCCCACCAGGCCCGTCTCCCACATTGGGGACCACATTTCAACATGAGATTTGGAGGGGAGAAATATCCAAACTAGACCATTTATATTTCTCCAACCTCAGTTTCAAATCTGGTCGAACACACTGACTATCTCCCTGATCAGTCTTTCATCCAGCAAGTCATCTTGAGCAGCACCATTCGGTGACCACAGCAGCCCTGGCCTCCCATGGCTTCCAGTCTGGTAACAAAAGATAAGGACAAGAACAGTTACCACTGAGAGATGTTTGTAATAACTGGGTCTGGTTGGCGGTAGGAGGGAAAATGAGGAGTGAGAGGATGATGGGAACCTCAGTGGGCTGGGGGTATCCAGCACTGGGGGGTGGCCTCCATGGAGACCTGGGTGAGAGTTCACATCCAGAATGCTTTCTAGGCCGTCAAGTTCAGAGGCACCGTGCAGCTCTTCCTAGGAGGGAAACTTGATGAGCTGCCTTTTTGAAAAATTAGGAATGTGCTGGAATTTTCCTCATGTACTACTGCTGCACAGTCAGCTTCGCACAAGGTGAACCCATCATTCCTTCTGTCTGATTAGTAATTCTAGTTACCCCACCCCTTATTGAGCATCCATTATGTCCAAAGTATTGGATTTTATTTTGGGATGCAAAAGATAGCTCATTGAGTTCCTGCCCAGTAGTGCCTAAATTGGGCTGTATACACCGAGATCAGTTTATTCCACAGATCTCCCGTCCCAGCGGTGTGAGCTCATGTGGCAAGGATGATAGAGGATGGGCCACGGTGGTCAGGAGGAGGGCTTGATGGCGGGGCAGACGGGAGGAGCCTGTAGGCAAGAAGGTGTGCGCTCCCTGGAAAGGAAGACAGGCTAAGTCTCGGCTGCTCTGCGGCTTTCACAGTGTGATCTGGGAGGCGGCATCATACCGATTTCTGGTGGACACCATGAAGTCGGGCAGACAGCAGTGAAGGCCTCGGGGTCGAAGGAATCTCAAGAGGTGTCCTGTTGAAACAGCAGCCTGTGGGGCTGACAGGAAGGATGGCCATCACCGTAAGGGACCAGTGACTGAGGGGCCTGGGACACTCCAGGCTCCTTGAACTGAGTCAAATGGCAGTCGAGTCACAGATGCAGGCCAGTCAGTGCTGATGGTTTTCCACTACCCCACCTTCCCTCCCTCTACAAGGCGAGAGCTGAAAGGCGGTCGCCTTGCTGAAATGCTGTCAGCTGAAGCACAGCTGTAGCGCAGAATGGGGACAGTGAGTCTGATGATGCCCCAGTGCTGGTCCCCATTGACCTCTGCCTTTCTTGGAACATGGTAAGGCAGGACTGTCTCCCATCAGCCCTTGAGAGAGAGGGATTCGAAACAGAAGAGGGAATTAGCCAACAAGAAGGGAACTACTCTTTTGTTTTCATTTTTTAAATGCTCTAGGTCAGTGGAGGAAATAGAAATTCTTCCTTGAAAAACAATTTAACATTTCTATGAAAGGCAATTGAGAGACTTTGACCCAGACCCCTCCATTTACAAAGGAGGGCACTGAAGCTCAGAGAGGGCGCGGGGTTTGCTCAGAGCCACACAGTGAGCTGAGAGCAGAGATAGCCTCCGGCCCAACTCTGCTGGTTCCCTGTCCCGCGGGCCTCCCTATCCCTTCCCCCAAAGAACTGAACACTGCCGAGGCTCCTGCTGAATAGCTGCATTTGTGCTGGTGATGAGACGCTGCGGTAAGCCCCCTTCTTGGGCACTTTCTTGGAAGCACAGTTGGTCACTCAGGGAGCAGGAGTACTACATCCACGGCATCTAATGAGACACGTGTGGATTCCTGTCAAACTGCTTAGTGGAGAACTTTCGCCTCAGTGTTAACAGAACATCCTCTGTCGACAAGATTTGAAAGCTGTCATCTAGTTCTTTGCAGGGGAAAGGGGAAAGGGGAGGAGCTTTTAGAAAAATAAAGGGGCAACAGTGACCATTTTCAGTCATTTTAGTGCAGCTGCAAAGTTTCAGGCAGAAAAAAGTCGCTGGCCAAAGGCCCGAGAGACTGAGCCTGCCAAGTGGAGTCTCCGCAGCTGCTTCTCTCCTCCAGGGGGATGAAGGGCTGGGCTGGACTGGCCGGAAGTGCGGTGTTGCTGAGCCCACAGGACAGAGCTGCCAGGAGCCACTGAGAGCGGAGTTCCAATCCCAGCCCCTCCGCACCGTGCCGCTGTGTCAGCCGTGCCCCTAAATGCAGGACAGAGCTGCTGTGAGGGCCTCGCTTGTGGAGGCAGGGGAGGGAAGGCTGGCTGCACGTGCTTTCCGGCTTCAGGACCGGGTGGCGAGGACCGCAGCCTGGCTGGCCGGCGTCCGCCTAACCCTGCAATGCCCGTTGAGTGACGCATTCAGCATTGGGCAGGTCAGCCCAGCACACAGCCTCGTCGATAATACGATCTGAGACATGCGCAAAGACCCCTGACGAAACAAGCCCTGAGTGACTGTCACGTTATGAATTAAGCTGCTGGTACCAGGAAATGGCGTTTCCGTCTTCTCGTGCTCCCCATCCCGATTTCGCCTGTCTGGGACCGTGGTGCCCGTCTGACCGGCTCACCTCGTTCTGTTTGGCGTCCCCACCAGGCCACCAGATGGAACTTTTGAAATGTTAGACTAATCGTATCACATTCTGTGTTGACAAAAACCACAGCGTCTCCTTTGTTGCCCAATTCGGGGTCTCTAAAATCCTGTCCCCACCTCACGTTTCTACCTTCTCCATGACTGGCTTAAGAACAGGCTCTGATTGGCTCCCCACCTGTGTCCACAGCAGCGTGCAGAGCTTGGCAGACGACAGCAGCTCAGTAAATACTTACTGAATGCATGCCTTCCTTTAAGCAAATTGCTTAACCTCTGGGAACCCCGGGCGCCTCCATCTATGAAATGGGGGCAGTACTTAAATTCCTTGGTTTTCATAAAAACTGAGGGTAAAATACATGAAACATGGAGCTTGATGCCTAGCCCCTAATTTATGCTGGGTAAATGATCACTGTTATTACCCACCTGAAGTGTTTTGTAGAAATGCATCCAAGCGTACCAGACCTATTCAAGACACTGTAAATGTAATGTCAGACAAATAGATGATGAGAAACGGAGAGGCTGAGAGAAAGGAAAGGCCCCAGCGTGCAAGTCGGAGGGCTTCGTGGAGCCTGGGGAGCCTGAGCTGGCTCTGAAGGACTTACCAGGCATTCCCAGGTCCCTTCCAGCTGCAGTGTTCTATGACGTTATGAAGCTTTCAATGGCAGGATTTTTTAGTAGACGTTCAGGAAAGTTATGTATGTCTCAGTTGGTGTCATAATCCACCTCCACAGAAGCCCAGATGAAGCCGGGCACATAGCATGCACCTGGAGTGCCCGCTACTCGGGAGGCCGAGGCGAGAGGATCACTTGATGCCAGTTCAAGACCAGCCTCAGCAACATAGCAAGGCCCCACCTCACAAAAAGAAATGAGATGATGTCTGATGAAAGGGCAGGAAGGCATTCATAGTCCGGGAGTCACCATGACAGGGTGTTGGCGTACCAGCTTCTCTGCCCCCAGCCTCGTAGAGGACATTTTGCATAAGAGTGGAAAGGAGGCTTTTGGCTTTGGCAGGCCTGTGATGCTGCCAGCGGTGTCCTGACATGGGGGTTCTCCGAATGCTGCGTCTTGATGCCCCTCTTGCAGGCCCATCTCCTCTCAGCTGATCAGGAACAAATACTTGCTAAGGTAAAACGAACAGTTACCTTGGGATAAAATGCCTCTCAAAAGTGTTGAACCTATTGGCCACACGCCACCAAAGCGCAGGAGCCTCTCGGGCAGGCAGGCACTATCATTTCCCTCCTAAAGAGAATAAATAAATGGAAAACTTGGCCACGCTTCCAACAGGCATTGCCTGCCTGCTCTTTTGCAGCTGCCGGAATTTGAGAGCCACCTGGCACGGAGACCCGCGATGCCCCATATCCGGAACAGCTGACCAGAGGCTTTATATATGTTCCCCCTCCGCCTGTGTTTTTTGCTCATTTGTCTAATCTTCGGCTGTAAAGTTAGTTTTATATTTCTAGTGAAATCTCCTCATGCACTCTTGCCACAGTGTTGCAAGAAACTGCGCTCTTTCTTTAGAATTTGCAGCAGAAATAGCTGAAAACTTTAAACAACTCCAGAATTTAAAATTCAGTACCACCCTACCATCATATGATAAGTGGGATTCAAAAATAAAATCAGATGTATCAGGACCTGCCTTGGTAAGTAGTTTCTTGAGACACCCTGGTGAGCCGGACGCTTCTGCAATGCGACAGGATCCAAGTTGGCCAGTCCTGGCTGCTCTCTGGCCCCACCTGGTGGTGGATATCGCTTCAGCGTAAATGTGTTCCTGGGGGTGACTTGGGGTCCGGGTCAGCATTGGGGGGTGCAGAAGACCCTCTGACTCTAGACACCTTAGATGAGGTGGTCTGCCGTTTCCTGCATGGCCTCTCCATGTTCCCTACCCAGGTAAATGCCAAAAATGCCTCCCTGTTTTGAGAAATGGGGACAGGGACTGGATGGGGTAGGGCAGTTGCTGAACATGGGCAGGTGACTGTGGAGCCCCTGCTGATATGAACAGGTCTGCTAACCCCGGGGGGTTTTTTGGGGAAAAGGTGTTAAAAATCATGCTCTATATAAAATGTGAATCTGTCCAATATAATCATCCCTTTTGTGGCTGAAATGTCAAGAAATGCCTAGCGTCTGGGGGCTTTGTGCCAGATTCTGTCAGGGAAGAAGACACCATGAGAATCCATGTCCCTCTTCGGGACTGGGTCCTCTGCGGTTGGGAATTCCTGCCCCACGGCACTGTAGGTCTCTGTCACTGGGTCACTGGCGTTTCAAATCTTGGGCTCCGTGGAGGGGTTACTGAGTCCTGACTGCTCCAGAGCACGGGCCATTTTTCTTCCCTGTAGCTTACTGCTTCCTTTCAGAAACCGTTCTTGGCCGTGTTAACTCAATGCACCTCAGTACGTGAAGTTATTTGAGAGGGGGCCTTACCTTACTTTTTCTTTTAGATACACCATTATGTGTGTCAACTCATGCTCCAGACATACTTAGGATTGATACAGTTGGCCGTCGTTGCGTGAAAGTCTGAAAATGCAAGAATGTTGGCTTTCAGCGCGAGTGGTTTCTCTAGACGGTATCAGATCCGTGGCGAGCACGCGGTTCCCAGGGCTGTTACTGGATGCTCAGATAGGACAGTTGACTCTCTTTTTAAGCAGAGCTTTCTTTTTTCTTGTTAAGGAATGAATGTATTGGAACCACATCATTTATGAATACCATTTTACGGAACAACAATGGTAGTGTAGGGCCCCAGTTGGATTCATGTTAACAGCTCTTTATCTGCGATCTTTAACTCACAAGGGTGAGATCTGGCTTTGCTGTGTGGTCTGGTCTTGGACAAGATACTTCACAGTATCTGGGAGGTAACTTCCTCCTTAAAGCCTCTGAGACTCTTTCCAGCTTGGATTCTGGAGCGTCTTCACCTCCCTCCATTCGTCCTAAGCCTCTGAAGTACGAGGAGCTTGGATGAGCGTAGCTCGCTCTCTGAACACAAGAGGGCGGCCATGGCACCAGCCTCGGAGCCTCAGCCTAGCCTCTCTCTCCGTCACTCCTAAGGACAGCAGCCCACACCCCGGATGAAAGTTTTCAGTCAGGAGAAGCAGTGTGCATTTCTCTTCAGTGTGTGTTGGTAGAAATGACGTCACATTCAGCCAATGAAAATTTAGACTTTGTACCTAGTAAGCCATTGAGCCAGTATTGATAATAAAGCATTGTTCTGTGTCCTGAACATACCGCTCTCTCTCTCTTTTTTTGTCTTTATAGCATTTATCCATTGCTAATAAGGTGTGTGAGACTGATAACATAAAAGAAGTAGGAAACATCCTCCAAAACCCTTTTGGAAAGGCATTTTTATTAATATTTTTAACAACAGGGCCTCACTGTCGCCCAGGCTGATCTTGAACTCCTGGCCTCAGGTGATCTTCCCGCCCAGCCTCCCAAGTAGCTGGGACTACTATTGGCTGAAAAAGGAATTTGAAAAATCAGAATTTGAAAGGATGTATTTTGTTTTACTTATTAATATTTTGAGGGCAGGGGTATGTGTGTGTGCATGTGTGAACTGAAGGAGTACTGAGTGACTTAAGCCATAATCTTGGATTTCTTTTTTTCTATTACTAATATTTTGTACGCTATTTAACTCACTTTCTAAATCTTAAAGCGGGGGCAGCAATTTACTAGCATTACGGTGTGGTTGGAAGGTATAGCCACCATGATATCTGTTTTTTCATGTGTTGTTATTTCTAGAAGAATACATTTTATGTTTGTAACAAGTGAAATTTGTCCATTTCCCGTATTTGGGGAAGATTTTATTTTAATGAGGAGAATAATTTTTCCTGTAATTCTACCACTCGTCGATCTGTGTACTAAAGATATTGTGCCATACCAGAGACACAGATCATGAAATGTCATGTGCGTTCAGACCTAGGTCTAGATTGCCCCTGGGCAGCCTCACCAGTCACTTTGCAGTTGCAGGAGCAGAAAGGTGGCAGGTTCGTGCTCCGCCTCGGGTGGGAATCCGTACCAGCTGGGCTGCTTCCAGCGCTGGGGACTTAGCGCCTCCTAGGGCCTCCTGTTTCTTAGAAAGTTTTCATTTTTAGGTAGTTTTTGTTTCCTCATAAGTCCAAATCTGCCTGCATATGACTCTTACCCTATTTGTATCATTTACAGCTCCTCAAAATAAATGAAATCCTTTTCCAGTTTGAAGACAGCTGTTGTGCCCCCATTTCCTTCTGGCCATCCAAAACCCGATGGCCTGCTAACTTTTCACGTCCCCTAGGTGAATTCCAAAGCCCCACATCCACACTTCTAGACGCCTGGTAACTGGTTCTTTGTACATGTGAAATTAGGAGCTTCCAGACATGGTCTGTGTTGTGTGATGAAAGCCCCCAAAACTTGTGATGCTGTAGCCGTGGCTCTCCTAGTTTATGTGAACTTGCATTTCAGGCTTGTTCGATCGTGTCTTGTCCACGGCCCCTTCCCTGGGCCCCCTTAGTGCAGCCCGAGACGGAGGCGGCTGACATGTGGCCTTGTCTCCCTGCAGGCTATCTGAACGTGCTCTCCAACAGCCGCTGGCGGGAGCGCTGGTGCCGAGTGAAAGATAACAAGCTCGTTTTCCACAAGGACAGGACCGACTTGAAGACCCACATTGTGTCCATCCCCCTCCGTGGCTGCGAGGTGATCCCAGGTTTGGATGCAAAACATCCTCTGACATTCCGGCTGCTTCGCAACGGCCAGGAGGTGGCAGTATTGGAGGTAGGGCACTTTCCAGGGGCTGCCTCCACAGAGGGACACACGTGGAGACTTTCCTTTGAAAAGCCGACTTCTGGCTCCTCTATCAAAATTCCTCCTGTCTTGCTGACGGCAGCTCTGTTCGGCCCACCCTCTTTTCTCTCACTGCCCAGTCTGTGAGTCGTCGCTTTGCTGCTCTTCGGTCTTTCTTTCTGGGAGATGCGATGAAGCAGGGAGCCCAGCAGCACTTTCCACCCGGCTGTCCACCGCAGATGGGCTGGCCTCCCCGTCTGAGCTCCTCTGTACGCCTGTTTGCAGGGAAATTAAATACACAATCCCATAGAGTACACTGCTTTTTTTAAAGTACCTGGAAAATAACTTGTTTTAGAATTTCCAAGAAAACGCTTTCCCCGTGAGCTACCTCTGAAATGGTGGTAAATGTTTCCTTTGGAATGTTCTTGACTTCTTTACCGATGGAAGACTTTGTGGGGCCATCTGAATGCCCTAGAGATGGTGGCCAGTGAGCCGCATGACACAGAAACCAAAAGAGCACCTTTGGGGTGTGGGAGCCCTGGCCTTTGAGCACCTTTGGGGTGTAGGAGCCCTGGCCTTTGAGCACCTTTAGGGTGTGGGAGCCCTGGCCTTTGAGCACCTTTGGGGTGTAGGAGCCCTGGCCTTTGAGCACCTTTAGGGTGTGGGAGCCCTGGCCTTTGAGCACCTTTGGGGTGTGGGAGCCCTGGCCTTTGAGCACATGGTGTTGTTTGGCTGCTTCACTGGAACTTCTTATTCATGAAAGAAGAAAAGACAGTTAAAACTTATAGCTACATACTCAAAACTTTCGTTAATGAAAGTTTTTCATTTTTCATCGTAGAAAATATTTTGTTGACGTTTCCTGCCCAAAATTAGACCTTTTTTCCTGTGGCTTTTTTTTTTCCATTAATTTCTGTGTCGATTCCCCCACTTAGTGTTATTATGACTAAGATGCAAAGACATACACACACATACACACACACACACACACACACACACACACACACACACACACACACATATCAGTGCAGTCCCAGGCGTCAGATGGTGGTGTCCATGTCAGCATCCTTATGCTACAGACTTGATAGAAACGAGTTCATATGAGATGTGGCGCGTGGGCTGGTGTTGGTGGAAACTCACCCAGCATGGAGCCTCCTCTAAATGCCTGTGCAGTGATGCTCATTGGCAGAGGAGAGAGTGCCTGGGGCTGCGACCAATCCACGGCTGCCCAGCCAGGCAACCCGAAGATCTCGAATTTCACACCTAGGAGTTCATTTCAGGGACTTTTCACAGAGGCTGCTTTTTTTGGTGGGGATAAAAAGTAGGTTAACAATATTGTCTTCCCGCAGTGCTCAGGAGGTAAGGGACGGTCAGCCGGACGGGTTGCCAGCCCCGTGGCTGGTTTTGCAGCAGTGTGGTCTAACAGAGAGGGCTGGGTTCAGGTGGGTTTGGGACAGCTGGGTTCCAGGCTTAGCTCCGTGCAGACTCTGATCACAGCCAACGCTTTTGTTCTCTCGTGGCTTCTTTACCCACCATAAAACATGAGTGCTGAGCAAGAGTCAGTGTACTTTGTCCACATTTTTGTGGGCTGCAAACGAGGATGGATGGCAATGGAAAAAAGCTGAACACGTCAATGAGGAAACGATACTCTTGATGTAACAATGGCGGTCTCCTGTGAGAGCTCTGGCAGCAGATCTGAGAAGGGCTGTGAGGGAAAGGAGGCTCAAATTGGCACGGGTTAGACACGGGAATGAAGAGGGAGGTGCCGGGCTGAGTGCCCAGACAGAGAAGCTCAGGATGGGGTGAAGTGGGGGGAAGTCGGGAGCTGTCTGGGGAAGAAGTCCCCGCCCTGCCATTGCTAGGGGGGCAATAGCTGTGTCCCCAAGTCCTTGAGAGAAAGCGGTAGCTTTCATACCTTCAAAAATGCTTGGCCCACTGAGGAAAGTGCTTATTCTCGAGAGAGCTGAAGTGGGTCGACTCAGTTTCCTGAATGACACGCCAGCAAGAATTGGAAGTTTAACCAGTATCACTTCGTCTGTGACAACTGTTTTTACAGCTGAAAAGTGACTCCACTCACAAGCGACACATAGAAACATCTATAGCCTTCCAACATAAGCAGGAAGTCTGTCCTCATCAGTGACGAAATGGCATGAGCCAGCCAATAGACTTGCAATCTATACTTTTTCCAAGATTGTTTTAACTTTTGTTCAGAGTTACTGAAAAGTTGCAAGAATAGCACAAAGAACGCCTGTGTGCCCCTTCACCGTATTCACCAAAGACGAGCTTGCCCGTGTTTGCTGTCCCCACACAGGCCTGCATGTGCACCTTCTCCCCCGCACCTTTTCTCTCTCTGTATGTGTGTGTGTAGGAATTTTTTCAGAACCTTTTGCAGGTATGTTGCCCTTTTGTCCCTAAATACTTTGATGTATATTTGCTGAAAACACCTTAACCAGGAAGACGGTGTCATGGTCACAGTCCGGAAACTGACATGCATACCATTCGCTGGCCTCATTCCCAGATCTTCATCGGGTTTTCCTGGTTATTTCTACAAAGTGCTTTGTGAGCAGAAGGAAATCGCAGACCATGTGCCGTAGTCCCCTGCCATGTCTCTTTAGCCTGCTCTGTCTGACTTGACAGCAGTGACACTCAGGAAGGAGACTGCTCTTCTGTAGAAGGCTCCCAGGTTTGGGCACTTCTGCTGCTGCCTCTCCTTGGGATCCCACAGACAATTTTAGCGGGAGCCCATTGGAGGTGGCGGCACGTTTTACGCTGCATTACATCAGGAGCCCCGCAGCGTCTGTGTGTCGCACTACTCATGACGTTAATTGATCCCTTGAGTAAGGTTTCCCCACTGTAAATCGACTGCATGTTTTTTCTCTCTAATAAGTCTCATGTGGGAAGATGCTTTGAAACCATATAACTATCATATTATTATTCACAATTTCGCCTGCTGGTTCCAGCATCCATTAATGACTCTTGCCTGAAACCATCATAATGACGGTTGCTAAATGGTGACTTTCTAATTCCGTTGTTCCTTCTGCGTTTATTAGCTAGCATCTACTGTGAGACCGTTTTCCTTCACTCCCATTTGATTATTCATTTGTTTATATATGTATGTATGTACGTCAGTGGGAATTCGTAGATTATTAGTATTATTTTTGAGAAAGGTCTCATTCTGTCACCCAGGCTGGAGTGCGGTGGTGCAATCTCGGCTCACTGTAACCTCCGCCTCCCAGGTTCAAGCAATTCTCCTGCCTCTGCTGTCTGAGTAGCTGGGATTACAGGCGTGCCACTATAGCTGGCTAATTTTTGTATTTTTTTAGTAGAGACAGGGTTTCACTGTGTTGGCCAGGCTGGTCTCAAACTCCTGACTTCAAATGATCCGCCTGCCTTGGCTTTCCAAAGTGCTGGGATTACAGGGGTGAGGCACCGTGCCCAGCCCATAGATTATTATTTTAATCAGTGATTATATCCTTTATTGTCATGATTTATTTTGGTCAAACTATCACAGATTGGGTCAGCAGGAGGCCCTTGGAGCTGGCTGTTTGTCCTTTGCCATGTCTCTATAATAAAGAGATGACAGCCCGTCACGCTGAGAGTACTTTCATTACCTGATGGCACAAAGAGATGCCCCAGGCTCGTCTTGTACTTGTCTTGGCCCCAGACCTGGAGTCAGCTGTTCCTCCAAAGCATGCTGTTCCTTTTAGTGGAGAATGGCGGAGAATTTAGAAACCAGGATCACTTCTGCTGGCGGGTCATAGCTTCTGGGTCTTTTCAGTAGACAAATGCAGGAAACGGATGTGTGGGTGTGGATGTGGATATATACACGCACATTCACATTTATATGTTACAAATATGACAGAGATTTGTAAGTGTAGATGTACGTGGATATGCATATGTATATGCATGCACCCATACCATCTCCATGTCTATACCTATGTATGTATTAAAAGCCATGAGAACTAATACCTCCAACATCACAGCTTTATTCTTTAAAGGCTGATGAGGAAATTTCGCAAAATGAATTAGGAAGAATACAATTGGTAAACTCTAATGTAACATCTCAATTGCATCTTAGATATTAATTGTATTAAGGTATTGTTAAGATGCTTTGGTGAAATGGTTATAGTGGCATAGATACAGATTAATCATGGGTACATTCTCAATATGGATTTTGTTTTAGGGAGGACATAAGACCTGTAAAGAGAACACATTCGTGACCTTTTTTAAAATCCAAGTATTCAAATCATTTTAATTTGGCAAATATTGATTATGTTTTTACTCTCCATAAGGTACTTAATGGAAATTCCTTCGCTTTGTCCTAATGGCCTAATTGTGTACTGGTTAGGAATGATTTGTTATATGGAAAATATCACTAGCCAATTACTCAACATAAAAAAATAGCTGCATTTTTGTTAACATTCCTTTCTTTAGAGGCCTTCATACATGGCATGGAATATTTACAATTACTCATATTTTGATCAGTGTTAAACTTGTCAAGGTTATAATTATAAAACCTAATTTTCTTTAAGCCTTTAAGCTCAACTTAGAGATTTTTATAAGGAATTTTTATAAGGAATAAAATTTATTTTTTCTTCATCATTCAGTTAACTCATAAATTTGATAGCTTAATTTCTTCTAAATGTTAACCATTATTTACCTATTTGATTAATCAAAATTTTTAAACATTTGAAATGCCATTATAAATGTAACCAGTTTTCTAAATCACTTTAAAACAATGGCCTAAAGCTGGGCATGGTGGCTCACACCTGTAATCTTAGCACTTTTGGGAGGCTGAAGTAGAATTGCTTGAGCCCAGGAGTTTGAGACCAGCCTGGGCAAGATGTTGAGACCCTGTCTCCACACATAAAAAATAAAAAAAATTAACTGAGCTTGGCGGTGAGCACCTGTAGTCCTAGCTACCTGGGAGGCTGAGGCAGGATTGCTTGAGACCGGGAGTTGGAGGCTGCAGTCAGCTCTGATCACACTACTGCAATCTGGCCTGGGTGACAGAGCGAGACCCTGTCTCAAAAAAAAAAAAAAAAAAAAAAAAAAAGGCTTACTATTGTCATGAACATAGTCCTGAAGATATATTTCAGACTTGCAAATTAAGCAGCCCAAATAGGGGAGGTATCACACATCTTAAAAAACGGTGTGCCCAAAGCAGCCCATTGACTACAGAGCGAGCGTTCTTTCCGCTTTGGAAACACAGCTGATAGAAAAGGAAATCACTTTTTTGTGTGATCTAATCGAGAAACTAAATGACCATGTAGGGGGCTCACCCAGGGCCCCTGGTATAAAAAAGGTTTGAGGCCGGTGGGGGCTGGAGCTTGGCTGCGCTTTCCAGGTCAGGCAGCAGCGGCTGGGGCTGGCTCCTTCTCATGGTCAGGTGCTGTCACCAGGCTCACGAGGCTCCTCAGCAGCTTCCTTCAGTGGAGATGTAATTAATCCCATTAATTTTCCTGTCTCACACCCTAGTGCCCTTCCCCACGATAACCGGAAGGCCTTTTAGGACTTCAGGTTTCATTCACCTTTGGTGTAATTGGGATGCTGCTTCCGAAGCGGAGGCCTGCTGTGAACGTGAGGTCGATTCCATTGCTCGGTCAATGGCTGTGTCTTCCTTCTTGTTTCTTCTTAGGGACATCATGTTTCATCACCTTTCCTATCATGTGGTCTTTGTTTACATTCATGAAAATGTAAAAATCTTTAGTAAATGCCTTTTTTCCACCTCAACAGGCATCTTCCTCTGAAGACATGGGCAGGTGGATTGGGATTTTACTTGCAGAGACGGGGTCATCCACAGACCCGGGAGCTCTGCACTATGACTACATTGATGTGGAAATGTCTGCAAATGTCATCCAGACAGCCAAACAGACCTTCTGGTAAGCTCCACCGCCACGTGAAATGGCACCGCAGTTCAGTAATGAGCTTTTCCCTAATTGCCTAACAGTTTTTGTGTGAGGATATAGTCTCAGAAGAAAAGCTAAAGACTTTCCCTTTTGCATTGTCTTAATTCAAATTTTATAGAAATGTTTTGTCATGTCAACCCACTGGGTTTCCTATTTGAGCAGCATGTGGCAAACTTGCATGAAGGACTAGATGGCAAATATTTTTGGTTTTGTGGGCCAGACATTTCCTGTTAATGACCGCTCAGCTCCTGTTGCAGCCAGACACGTTACATAAACGGTGGGTGTGTCTTCATTCTAATAAAACTTTATTTGCAAAAACAGGTAGTGGCCTGGACTTGGCCGGTGGTTTGCTGACCCCTGTGTTAGAGGAACAGTTCCATGAAGCAGAAATGATTCTATGTATTGCTGTAATGAGGACTGAGTTTTCGAAGCTATCAGTCAAGTACTTTGTAAATTTAAATTTTGATGTTTATAAAATGCTGCAATAATGTATAAATGAACTGGGAATATTTCTTTCACATAATGATGGCAGAGAGACTTACAGCAGCAGTTCTTGGTATGGTCTGCAGACTCCCTGGGAATATTCAAAACCCTTTCTGGCAGTCTACAGGGTTAAATTATTTTCAAAATAATACCAAGACATTATTTTCCTTTTCCACTGTTTGGACATTTGCATTAGTGATCATTGGCTGGCACCTTAGCACAAATAGCGGCACTTCACTGTATTAGTAGTCATTGTCACTGCCGCACGCTTGCTTTTAAAAGTAAAAGAAAATGCTGGTTTCACTTAAGATGTCCTTGAGGAAGCAGTAAAAGTTACGACTTTTTGTAAAGGACTGGATAGCAGATATTTGCATGAAGTCTCTGCAGTCCATGTGTTTTTCCTGTTCTGTGTGGCATGATGGGAGGCCACCGCGAGCGTGTTGGAGTGCACCGTCACAGTGGTCCTATTGAGGAACAGCTCTCAGACCAGTGAGTTGCTCATAGAACTGGCTGCATTCATTTTTTAAAAATTTTTACTTGAAAAAGCAACTGACAAACTGTGGTTATTCACATGTAGGCATTTGCAGACGTTTTCTTGAAAATGAGCTGGCTCTACCCATCGTCTCTAGGCAAACACTTGGCCCTATTTGTTGCTTGTGATACATTGAAGCTTTCCTTAGAAGTTAGAATTCTGGAAAATTTACATCTGCCACAGTGAGCCTGCCAGCTTCTTAGCACCTGCAGACACCTGCTGAGATCTGTAGTCATATCAGTGAGCAGTTTTTTTGATGTATAATGAAGGATGTCAACATCTGAAAGAGCTGCAGAAGTCATGCTTGGGAAAAGACATATTCCTAGTGCAAGATAAACTCCTGAATTTTCATGTAAGTCAACTGATCTGATTTCTGACTCCACGTTGCAGTTAGCAGTAAGGAACCACCACTTGCTGAGTTTTGGTGTAGTACCAAAGAAGTGTATGGCCAGCTCTTGGAAAAAGCAGTTAAAATGTGCCTCAGTTTTCCAGCTTACATTTGTTTGAGGCTGGATTTTCTTCACATACTTCAACCAAAAGAGCATTTTGTGACAGATTGAAGGCAAGAAGCAGGCGTGAGAATCCAGCTACCTTCTACTAAGCTGGACAGTAACTGAGTTTACAGGCATGTGAACAATGCCACTTTTTTGTTGGTTATTGGGGTTTTGTTGTTGTTGTTGTTGTTGTTGTTGTATTTTTGATTAAGGGTCTTGCTCTGTTGCCCAGGCTAGAGTGCAGTGGCACAATTATGACTCATTGCAGCCTCGACCTCCTGGGCTCAAGGGATCCTCCCATTTCAGCCACCCAAGCAGCTGGGACTACAGGCATGTGCCACCATGCTTGGCTAATTTTTTTTTTTTTTTCTAAGAGACAGGGTTTTATTATGTTGCCCAGGCTGGTTTCAAATTCCTGAGCTCAAGCGATCTTCCCACCTTGGCCTCCCAAAGTGCTAGGATTACAGTCATGACCCATGATGCCACTTTTAAGTGAATAAAAATGAATATATTTCTCAGGTTTAATTTCAGATATGGCAGGTAGTAGGTGGAGTATCTTGGCTTTGGGTCCTGCTGTGGTATTTACTAATTAGAAAAATCTGGACAAGTCAGTCATTACCTGTTCGCGCCTCTGCGGCCGTCTGGAGAAAATGGAGAGGGCGGGCGAGATCATCTCTGAAGCTTCCAGCTCTGCGTCTTTGACCCCTTGGCTCTGCGTCTGTTTCTCTCATGCTTAGAGAGTCTGGACTGGGGTGAGGGAAGTGAATGAAAACAAAGCTGATCATGAATTGCATCATCAGCAAGTGAGGATAAACATACAGGCAGCTGCTGGCGGACCTGCCAGTGCTGAGATGACGCACCCTTTCGAGTGTGTGGAAGGTGGGCTGGAACGCCTGGCCATTGTTCGCCTGTTTAATATGACCACCATCAGCTAGTTTTTCCACACAAGTGGTATTTATGGGGAATTGGAGCAGTCTTCCTCTGTATCTTGAATGGTGAATGGACATCGATTGAATGCTTAGCTCGGACTTTCTGGGCCTAAGAAATAGTTCTCAAAGTGAAGATAACTTGGCCCATTTTAGGACTGAGGCCACATGTTACACCCAGCCAAGGTCAGTAGCCTTGACAGGTGGACTTGGTCTTGCCCAGATTGTCCATAAAATCCGCAGTAGCACTGGAGGCTTTCTACAGGACAGACTGTTGTCACCACTGTCCTTCTGTGCAGAAATCAGGATAGATGTAGTCTAGTACTGTTCCATTTATACTCATTATTGTTTAATTACATGCTTTCTAATCAGCAAAACGTAGGTGAATTATGATGATGCTCCTATTTATTAAGTACCATGCAGTAAATAAAGCACATAATAAGGTGTTTTTAAAGAGATATAATATCCGTAAATCTAGTTTTGCAAAATCTGTCCAATCAGACTGACATAAAAGTGGATATGGATGTTAACTATGTTTATTGGGAAGATACTAAATTTCCATACAAACCTATCCTACGTCCACATGTAATTTTAAGTATAATCAGCAAAGTGCTACGCACATGTCAGAGAAACCCTGAAATAAAATAGCTGCCCTAGAATACAACTTGGCTTTTACTTTATAAATGAGTAGAGTATTAATCTGAAACAAATGTGGCAAGGTCACGTTTTTGAGAAAGGAATGTAGATCATAATACTAAAAATATTTGTTAAAATCTGCATGTAATGAATTTATGGCTGCAGGAATCTTTTCAATCTAGTACCTCATTCAAGTCTTTACAGGATATGTCAGTTAGCAATAAAGTTTATTTGCAAGTTTTCTAGCCAGACATTCCTGTAAAACTTGAGATGAGATGTGACAAGGAAACAGTGTCCAAAATATGGTCACGTGCCAGCGTGATCAATATTCCCAGATGAAATTTTTGGCTTTTACAGAAACTGGCAGCCAGTTAATGAATCTTTTCAAGGTTCTTTGGAGAATCCTCTTTGCATTGTACATGACTAAGGATGAAACAGCATTAATATGTTTTGAAAAGAGGAAAGTAAAAGATAATCATGGAGAGTGTCTCAGGAAAAGTGGTATGTTTAGGAACTTTAATAATGGTAAACAATTGAGACATATGTTCTGGAAAGCCTATTTTGAAATGAGATACACAGATTATGTAATACGAGGAAAATACTCCAAAGGTTCCCCGAAACTCTCTTCTCGTCCCTCTCAGGAGTCCATCAGGAAGCGGTAGTGAGGATGAAGAGCATGGAAAGCAGGGTTGGTGTGGCGAGGGTGGAGAGGGGGTAGATGCGAGGACAGGAGGCGGTCCTCTCGGCCACCCTCTCCTCTGAGTCCCGGGAGGTTGATCGGAAACAGCTCCCTTGACTGTCTCCTGGTTTCAGTGTAACAAGTGGCCTGTGGCCTCTTAACGTCATATCCACTTCTGCCTTTGGCTACAAATCCTATTGTGGAAAGACACCAGCAGGAAGACAGAGGCCTCGTGTTTAGTTGTGACCCCATTCACACCCTGCCCTCTTGAGGGCCAGGCAGAGTTCTCCTCCCTGGACCAGGTCCCTCTCTGTAGGGTGAGGGGTGGCTAGCTGCTGGCTGAGGTCCACCTGGGACATTCTGTGTGCCTGTGACCCCTCATCACTGTGCTCCCAAGTCCTGCCAGTGAGCCTGTCAGAGGCATCCTGCAGTGGCTCTTCCCAGCACAGAAGCAGGAGTGGAGCCACCCAGGGCCTCTGTTCTGACCCCACCCTGTGTCCCTGCTGCAGCAGGGCGAGTGCAGCCACATGCTTGAAACCGAAGATGCCGGGGAAGGAGGAAAGACTCAGGATGGCCAGGGCACAGGGGAGGGGGTGGTCCCCGTGGCCGGGCATTATTCATCCACCCATTTACTGTTCTCTCACTGACAAAAAGCATACATAGCGCTGTTTCCCCAAAAGCCCTCCAATGAGGCATTTAATTAGAAAACCTTAAATATGTATTTTTTAAAATGAAAATCGATTACTACAGAACTCTTAAATGTTCAAGTTTTGCTGTGCCTTTCCTTCTTATATGTTCTCTTCTTATTCGTTGTCTTTTCCTACATATACTTTTATATACTTTAAGTTACATTCTTACAATCAAAGGAAAAAGATTATAAATTACAGTTGAAGAATGTGTCCAGGCAGCAAGCCGTGCATGGCGTCCCTCCCCAGCAGGGGGCGCACGCGCGCTCTGTGCGGAGCGTTTTCCGCGGCCCACGCTGCTCAAGTCCAGCCCAGAACCCCAAGCCCGGGTTCTCCCGCGGCTGCGCTGCCAGAGGTACGCCAAAGAGGCAGACTTCGCTCCCCGGTGTTTACGCTGTGTTTTCTTAAGCTGGTGACCCTAGAAACGCAGCATTCTCTCAAATATCCCCCACTAGCAGGAAATGCTTTCGGGGGTCTCTTCCCTGGGTGGTTTCCATTGTCAGTCCTGACGCGTGGCTTCGGAAGCTGCTGAGCCTCTAGACCCCTGCACCTGCGGACCTCTGCACGTGCTGATGTGGTCCCCGCACTTCTGAGGCCGACCCTCCAGGGCAGAGAGCAGGCAGGACACGGATGCGGGGTGGTGGCCCCGGACCCAGAGGGGAGGGAGGGGTGCTGTGGGGCTGCTAGGGTGGGCGCCCCCAGGGGGGCAGCACCCATGAGGAGACCCAGATACGAAGGGTGTCTGGAGAGGAGTTTGGCAGGCAGAGGGGCTGGGGGAGCAGAGAGAGCCAGGGGAGCCCCAGAATACCAAGGAGACTGACCCAGCTATGGAAGCCACAGCTCAAGGACTGAGCAGAGACCCAGTCCCTGGGAGCCCCGCGGCCCTGGGGAGCACCTTGCGACTTCCGAAGAACTTGGGGGTGTTGGGCGGAAGCTGGTGTGGCCAGCCTGCCCGCCTTAAAAGGGAGTGGGCAGTTCTCTCACTGCAGGCTCCACAGTGTTGGGTCTCGCCTTTGGCCACTCAATGGGCAGGTCTTTCCCACGCCAAGCAATTCTCTAGATTTCTGCGGGCACCAGTGGGGTGTCCTAATACATGAACTCAACCCTCAGTGATCTTCCAGGAGGCAGCGTCAGGTCCCCCAGTTAAGGGCCCAGCCCACAGAGCCGACTCCACTCCAGATGCCAGCCGCAGGTCCAGGTTGTCACCCATGCTTCTGACCAACGGGATGTGAGTGGGCGGTTCCCACGACCTTCCCCACGAGTTCATTGCCAAATGCTCACAGAACTCAGGAGGAGCTTGCTTACCGGATTACTAGTGAAAAGATACAGCTCAGAAGCAGTGAAGGAAGAGGTGCACCCGGCAAGGGGTACGGAGCGCAGCGCTCCTGTGCCCTCGCTGGGTGCACCACGCTTCTGACACCGCCACACGCTCACAGCTCAGAAGCTCTGGGAACCTGTCCTTCTGGGTTTTTATGGAAAGTTCAGGCCCTAATCACGGGGTTGGTTTCCCTGGCAACCAGCCCTCATTGTACTCTTCATGTAGGAAATTCCTGGAGTTTTAGGAGCCCTGACCGGGAACTTGGGACAAAGACCAAAATATATACGTATTATGCCACAGTATCACACCTTCTAAAGGATTTCTCTGGCCACTGTCAGTGGGTCTCAGAAGTTGAGGGAATTTCAGGGAAGAGGTGAAAATGAGTTGTGTGGGGTGGCAGTGGTGCTGAATGAGTCCTAAGAACTCCATAAACATCTGTTGAGTAATTGTTCTAGAGAACAGAACAGGCGTCCACAAACCTTTTCCAAAAAAGGCTGAACAGTGACTTTCAGGTTTTTGTTTTGTTTTTTTTTTTTTTTTTTTGAGACGAAGTTTCGCTCATATTGCCCAGGCTGGAGTGCAATGGCGTGATCTCGGCTCACTGCAACCTCCACCTCCTGGGTTCAAGCGATTCTCCTGCCTCAGCCACCCGAGTAGCTGGGATTACAGGCATGTACCACCATGCCCGGCTCATTTCATATTTTTAGTAGAGATGGGATTGCTCCATGTTGGTCAAGCTGGTCTTGAACTCCTGACCTCAGGTGATCCGCCCACCTCAGCCTCCCAAAGTGCTGGGATTGTAGGCGTGAGTCACCGTGCTGCCTGGCCTAACTTTTAGCTTTGCAGCCCATGTTACCCTCTTGGAAGTAACACACTTATGAAAGAAGCATGTGTTCCAATAAAACTTTATTACCAACACGGGCTGTGAGAGGAGCTGGCCACGGTGAGAGACGGATGGTGACCGAAATGCTTGCCACTTCTGAATGCCTGTTACTTGCAGGCTTTGCCGCGTGTACCTGGCGTTGGTTATGGGCGGAGTATGCGTCCTCCTAATCTCATAGCACAGTCCCTCCAGCACAGCCTCTCATTTCTGCTGAGGTTCTGTCTCGTATTTCTTCTCCGCCCCGTGACTGCTGACATGGCGTTGGACGTGGAGTCAGCTCACTGAAGACCTGACTGATTGGAGCCAGAGGTGGTCAGGTTATGGATTTTAACGCATTTCCTTTCTTTCAGTTTCATGAACAGGCGTGTTCTGTCTGCTAACCCATATCTAGGGGTCACGTCCAACGGCTATGCCCACCCCAGCGGGACGGCGCTTCATTACGACGATGTCCCGTGCATCAACGGCGCGGTGAGTACCCTTTCGCTGGAGTCACGGTTTTGTTCGAAGTGAGGCTGTGAAAATTCTGTGCCTCAGCTCCCCTGGTGTCAGTTTATGAGGTCGGCTCTTTAATGCTCTGAGGCAAGCAGGAGACTCCACGTTGTCTCTCTGCTCCTGGTTTCTGACGTGCTGTTCATCTGAAGCTGCATGTGAACGAGTGGGTCGTTTGAAACTAGTAGACAGTTTGTCGTTTAATGTCACTGTCATTTTTCTGTTGGTTTTGACGCAGGGTCCCAATCTGTGGCCCAGGCGGGAGCGCAGTGGTGCAGTCAAGACTCACAGTAGCTCAACCTCCGCAGCTCGGTGGATCCTCCCACCTTGGCCTCCCAAGTAGCTGGGGCGTAGGTACACACCACCACACCACACTCATTTGTTTATTTTTAGGAGGGATGGGGTCTCCCTATATTGGACAGGCCAGTCTTGAACTCCTGGGCTCAAGTGATTCTCTTGCCTCAGACTTTCAATGTGTTAGGATTACCAAAGTGAGCCACCGTGCCCAGCATAATGTCACTGCCCACTAAAATACTGACTAAAGGACAGCATATTAGAGTGATACTTGGACAACTTGTTAAATCAAACATAGCACAGTGTAAGTTGTCCGTGGTAGTTATTTCCCGATAGGATTAAAATACTGAGAAATCCCCTGAGGAAGGAAATGGGGCTGTAGCAGAATGGCCGCAGTACAAGCTCGGCAGCTTCCCCCGGGCGGATGTGGAGGACAGGCTCCCGGCCCCCGTCACCGCGCCGTCTGTGGGGCCGCAGCTCCACGCAGCTGGTGCCCCGGCGCGGCTCTCTCTGTTCCGCGGGTCTGCAGGGTCTGCTGGGCCTTTGGAGTTGTGAAGTCTGCTCTCGGTGTGCTGCGGCGTGTGTCGTCAGCGGGCCTGTCCACAGGTGCCTGTCTCACGGTGTGTGCATGCCGCTCATCTCACAGCCGTGTACTGAGCAGCCTCTGTGGTCCAGGCACGGTGCCCAGCCCTGGGCATTCGGGGGTGAGGCCTGCACAGTCGGCGGGTGGGTGAAGGAGGTCTGTGAGAAACCAGCACGCCATGTGTCTCCCAGTGCCGGGCGGGTTTGCAGTCGGCCTCTGTTAAGATCTTTTTCAAAGGTAGACACAAAGAATATTTATTGTGATTTTTCCCACCTCGGAAGGTATTTCAGACTTTTTCCTTGCTGCTTTCTTTCTCCAGTCATTTCTCCAATATTCTGGGGAATGTCCTCAGTCAGCCCTGGCATTGTAAATTACGTAGTCGCCCACAGCAGGAACCAGGAGACAATGGCCTCTTTGAGGGAGGAGTGGGGCTGAGGACTCCCAGCACTCAGGAGCATAAACAGACTGAAGGCTGTTTATGTTGGGGTCAGAAGTGGCTGGCCCATTCCTCAAGAGCCATGATGGACACCATGAAGGTGTCCATGGGGCCCAGTCACCTTCCCGCTGGTCGCCGCCTCCTGCCCCTCTATACCTGCCGTCCTAGGTGGAGAGGTGTCAGGGCCCGTCAATCTCCTCCTTCCCCTCAGCCAGTCCTTCCTGGAGTGTCTCTGGATGCCCACAGTCACCATGGTGCTCCACCCTGGCACAGGGGCTTGTTCCAGTTCTTCCGCTCAGACGGCCCCACGGCGGCCTGGGGAGCGGGCCCTCAGGCTGGTGCCCGCCCTGGATTCTGGCTCCTGCGCCGTCTTCTGCCTCCGTTTGCTCTGTGTCACCCCAGTGTCTCTTGACGGCACAGGCTTATCCCTGGGTTTAGACACCAGTTACCACACTCATCTGCATCCTGAGCACCATCCACTTCTCTTAGCCCGTGTCTAGCCCGTCCCACCCAAAGACCCTTTCCTACCCCTTTTCCTCCAAGGTGTTTCTCCACGTGCACCCCTTACACACGAACCTGTGACTGAGCCGGATGCCACTGAGACCCTGTGGAGCCACACATGGCTCCACCCAGCCCGTTTCATTCAGGCTTCGATGACACGGTACAGGCCACCCACAGGAGTGAGTGTTCCTGAGGTTACTGGCAGCTTAATCTGTCGGAGAAACAAAGGTCTGCCGTTCCTTGTTTGTGTGCGTGTATCGCTGGACTGGCGATAGCTACCTTTAGGACGTAACACACGGTACACGTATGTGGCTTCCTTCCTCTGCTCGGCCCCTTCCTGAAACTCTTTTCTGTGTGTTCGGCTCTGTTACCAGCTCATCTCTTTTTGGAGGGCTTCATCTTTAGGATTTTAAAGTTCATATTGATAGCCTGGTGCGGTGGCTCATGTCTGTGATCCCAGCACTTTGGGAGGCAGAGGTGGGCCGATCACTTGAGGCCAGGAGTTCGAGACCAGCCTGGCCAACATGGCAAAACCTCGTCTCTAAAAATATAAGAATTAGCCGGGCTTGGTGGTGGGCATCTGTAATCCTGGATACTCAGGAGGCTGAGGCAGGAGAATCACTTGAGCCTGGGAGGCAGAAGGTGCAGTGAGCTGAGATGGTACCACTGCACTCCAGCCTGGGCAACAGAACAAGACTTCATCTCAAAAAAGTTCATATTTATGACCTAATATCTGGCACCATAGCACTGTTTCAGCTTAAGTAATGTTTACTCCCTCACCGTTCCCCGATGCTTAGACTGAGATGAGAGTGCACGCTCACACTTTAAACTAGAAACTTCTGTGAGGTCTCTGTAGGTGTTTTTCTGCATCTTCCATATGACTTAATCTTTGGTATTTTAGGAAAATGATAGTCTCGTCTAGACCGTTTTAATAACTCTGGACAAATATATGCTGGGCTGTCATTATGAAACTCTCACATCCGAGTTTATCTGCAGGGACCGTTATTTTTAGATCACAAAAATAGACACATTGAAGTGATTGCGGAGGAATACAGATGCTCCCACTGTGGAATTTTCAGTCTTTGCTATTTTTATAACAAAAGGTTGTAATTACCGTCTGGCGGGAAGGACTATGCAGGAAGACTATGAAAACAGGGTAAAAGAACATAACAGAGGAGTTAATATCGCCTTTCTTGTACTGCCAGGCAATTTATAAAGACCTTTAAAGCTGAAAAGGCCTTGGCTGTGGTTATCTGTTTTTGGGTTGAGTTAATACTTTAATGTCCATGTTCCCAGATTCTTCTGTCCCATGAAGTGGCATGAACCTATTTTAGTCCTTTGTTAGAGATTTTCTGCTAAAAGAATACCATTATATCAATTAGATTTGGAAGCATCTAATGTTCTATGAGAATTCGATGTCTCTTTTCACAGACCGTTTTGCTTGTGGCACTTTATTCAGGTATACCGAGCAGGGCCCAGAGGGGTGGGTGTTGACAGCTCCCATAGGTCTTAGGTCACCGACTCCAGCACAGGGACTTGGAGGAGCCCACAGGTGGTCTGCTGTCCCCATAAGGAGCCCGAGGCTTAGAGGCAGCACCGTGCGGGGATGAGCGCAGCCCCCGCTCCGCTCCGCTGCTCACTGGCTCCAGGCTTCCATTTTCCCCTTTTCCTAGATGACTGTGAGACGCAGTCAGCTTCCAGGGCAAGGGCAGTGCTCTGAAAAGCCTCGAGTGCTCTGCCTGGACCTCAGTGTCCGCGCGCAGCCGAGCGCCAGGTCCCTGGGCTCACGCTCCTTTCCGCCCTCACATTCACGTCCTGCGCTAGGGACTTCTCTAAAGAAGGAAAGACCAGATAACATTTCTTTTTCTTCTTTCACAGACAGGACCAAACAAAAACTTCACATTCCCATTCTGGGAATGGCTTAAGGCAACAAAAATTTCCATAAGGCTTCAGAAGTCAAGTTCTTTTGAATCAGTCTGCGTGCTTGTGTTGGGTGTGTGTATATGTGTGTGTTGGGGGGTGCATGCCTTATTGATGACAGCTGCAGTCTGTGCAGAAGGGTGTTGGGATGCTGACGCCATGCTAAGTGCTGTGCTATTAATAAATGACATCTCGCTGTGCTGAAAGCTGCTGTTTTCTGTGTCCAAGTCACTAACCACAAAGCTGTGTGTGTTGCAGTGGGAACCGGAAGATGGCTTTCCTGCTTCCTGCAGCAGAGGCTTGGGAGAAGAGGTGCTTTATGATAACGCAGGCCTGTACGATAACTTGCCGTCTCCGAAAATCTTTGCCCGCTACTCTCCTGCTGACAGAAAGGCCTCTAGGCTGTCTGCCGACAAGCTGTCCTCTAACCATTACAAATACCCTGCCTCCGCTCCGTCTCTCACTAATACCTCTTCTGTGGGGAGGGCGTCTCTCGGGCTCAACTCACAGGTACAGCATCTTCTTCTGTAAGATTCCAGAGCCACCTTTAAGTCACATTGCTCCAACAGTTTTGCAACTTGTAGTAAATGGGACTCAGCAAAGGCAAAGTGTAATGTTTTTTCCCCCTCAACTAGAATATAATTTGCAACCTGACTACCAAGGGACTGATGAGATATTTCTAACGAGCTCATGGTTTGCCTAAGCACTGTTTCTTTGCCCACATCTGACTTTCCTTCTGTTCTTGGAAAATTCCCCAGTGAACTTTGTGAATTATGTCAACTAAAGTCAGAGAATTTAAAAGAAACGGGTAATAAAACTTTCCAGAAGATTCTTGAACTGCAAGGTTCTTTAACATGTTTCCATTACACATAATGAGGAAGGGTTGACTCCATGCAGTCATTGCTTTTGATCTTTAAACATGAAATAGGGTTATTCAGGGTACGGTAGGGGTTTTCCGTGTTAAGTCTAGAGGTATACTCTTAAAAACTAGACGATGATAATAAGGACATTTGATGACCACTGAACAGTAATAACCTTGATGTTGAACTGTGGTCCATTGCACACCCTGTGTTTATGGCAAACAGTAACATTTCAGAGTAATTTTGTGTGGTTAGGCCTTTTTAATTTTGTTTTGTTTTAAGGAGATGACGTCTCACTCTGTTGCCCAGGCAGGACTTGAATTCCTGGGCTCAAGTGATTCTCCTGCCTTGGTCTCCCAAGTAGCTGGGGCACCAGGCATGTGCCACCATGCCCGGCTTATCATGCATATTTAACCTAAGAATTTGTTATGCTTTGCCTAAAGACTTCAGCCGATGTATGTAGGAATATGAACATACAGCAAATGGGCATGTTTTAAATATGTGCATTTTTCTCCATTCTTTGGATAATCTTAAGAAAATAATGAACCACGTAAAATTGCAGAATTCTAGATAGCAGTGACTTAGAGCACCAGCTCCCTATAGGTCGGCTTCATCAGAAACCTAGTGCACAGGTGTGTGTTGGTTTTCGATTCTGAATGACAGTCGTTCAGAATCCCCTATCCCTGGAGATTCCCATTTGGTGCCTCTGAGGGGCCCAGAGCTAAGTAAAGCCCGGCCTGGGGCCTTGGGACGCCTCAGGGCTTCTTACGAGGACTTACGCCAAAAAGTGGGCAGGTGATGTGTTGCATTTACTAAGTAAATGTGTTTCTGTGTTTCTACCTGTCTTTATTGGCATTAGAGCTGCCTTAGGTAAAATCCTGCAATGCAGCTTTCCATCCTGCCACTCGGATTGCCCCCACGTGAGTTGGGAATCGTTTGATGTGTGGTTCCCGTGTGGGGTTTTTGTTACTTTTGTTCCCTTTTGTTTTGCTTTTGTTGAAGTAGGAAACACTTTCGCAGGTTAAACCGCATGGCCTCTGTGTTTCCTGGCCTCCTTTGGTCGTTTTCATGGGAGCCTGTTGTTTAAGCACTTACACGTCCTCTCTCCTGTACTGCAGGTCATCAGATCATTTCAGGAGCCCTGTGGGGAGGGGTCGCTACCTTTAACTTTTTAAATAATCAAGCAGGGGCTCAGAAAGTTTAAATAACTTGCTTGACAGCTCCTAAATGATGGAGCCAGGATTTGGAGCTAGGTCTCGGTGCCTCCCAAAAGTTGAGGCCTGCAACAGAAGGAAACGTAGTGTCATGGAAAAAGCATGGGCGTGGGTGCTGGAGTGAGTCTTTGCCATCACGCTGAAAAATTACACAACTAAGCTGCATAGAAGGTCACGCCAGCAAAATGCAGAACTCGCTGGCCTGTGGCAGTCCCCAGAGTAGAGCGCTGTCTCACTGTTTCAGAAGCCTGTAGACTGTGCAAGCTCAGTTTCCATGTTATTGCTTCCCTTGCCCGTTAGGATGTCACTGGTTGTAAAAGCGCTTGCAGCAGCACAGCTCTAACGCAGGCTCCTGCTCCTCTCCTGAGGGCATGCCACTGAAATAAAAGCTGTTTAGCCTCGGAAACAAACTGCTCACCTCAGCCCGCGCCAGCTCGGGTAGTGTTTATGACTTGCCAGTTGAAAGGCGTCCCTTCCGCAGCGTTCCAGCGGAACACATCCTACCGACCCCATTGGCTTTGGCCTTGGCCACACCTCCTTAACCATTCCCCGTAATCCCGGCAGCCCAGTGTTTGGACACCATCTTGGTTTTCTTTCACCTTTATTTTTTTCTCCATCTATGCCAGTTTCTGTAATAGTTAGAGTCAGAGACTGAAAGAAATGACTGCAGGAAAAAAAGACCCAAGATTTTTTTCGACTGTGTGTTTATTTTTTATGTTCTTATATGTTCATTTCAACAGCTCAAGGGTAAAAAGCCTCCAGTGGCATCTAACGGGGTCACAGGAAAAGGGAAGACTCAGAGCAGTCAGCCGAAAAAAGTGGATCCCGTGGCTGGCGTGAAAAGGACAGCTTCGAGTAAGTATGCCATCGGTGTCTTGCCTTCCGGCTGCAAGGGCGCTTGGTCGAGCTGGGCCTGTCTGAGCCTGCCCACCAGTAAGTGCCAGCTTGGGGGGCAGCTGGAGAAGTGGAGCTGTGGGCACCGCCATCCTTCCTCATCGGCCGCATGGAAGGACAGCGGCAGTTTCCACCCAGCCTTTCTGACTATGCTTGTAGATGGAAGCCCAGGACTGGCTTGCTGCCTGTGGGATTGACTCAGCATTTTAAAATGGGAGGCAGTCGTGAGTGCAGGTTGCCTGCAGCTCCAGGTGGCCCTGGATGCTGGGTCAGGAGACCTTGGCTCACGTCCCTGATCTGTGGTTGACAAGCCACGCAAACTCTAAACTCAGCCTCTTTATCTGCCAGGCGTGGACAGATGCTCCTGCGTTTGGTGCAGTGGAATGACCGAGGTCATACGCAGGCCTCGCAGCACTAGAGCAGGGCAGTGATTAGTCCTGTGGCGCCTCGTAGTCTACAGCAAGCCATTCCTATCCCACCCACTTTGCTTCCCACAGCCACTCTGTAAGCGGAGGCCCTGTCCTCAGCCCCACCACATGCATGAGAAAAGAATCACCAAGAGGGTACGCAGCTACCCCGAGGCCTCACAGCTGGTGAATCACAGAGCCAGAGTGGGTGGCGGCTTTCACACTCCACATCCAGGGTAGAGAAGCTTCCAGACACGAGAGACTCGGCCTGCCTGCCTCGCCCCTTCCCTCCGGGGATCCACGGAGGGTGATACCGTCATCTCTGCAGCGTTGTTGCACTGGTCCTCATTATGTGGATGTCTCATCAGGGAGCCAGCCAGGCAGCACTCTTCACTCCAGGGACTCAAAGGCACAGTAAAGTAGTTGCCATTGAGCGTCCTCGGTCCAGCAGACCCACATGTGCGGACGAGCACGTGTAAGGGCCGCAGCATGGGGTTCTGCAGGTCGGGTGCACCTGAGGCCATCTGGGACTGTCCGGGAAGATTTCCCAGAGGAAGAAGGTGGGCGTTAGATGCAGGCGTTGAGTTTGATGTGGTTACATGCCGTTGCCACTTGGGATTTGTACCTGAGCTTTTCAAATCTGGGTCAGTGCAACTGGTAGACCAGTCTCTGTGCTAATGAAGATGAGGCTGGCTAGCCCCATGGGTAACCCCACACCAGCTGTAAAAGAGAGAGGGTCCGATACCGACCTGTGCTGACATCCATTTGCACTGTTGTTTCAGTTTTGGAGTCAGAGCATCCACACAGGGGAATTGAGAGGCTGGCAGTGTGCTTGGCTGCGTTCATGAGTGAGCCTTGGAATCACCCAGCAGGACCAGGGTGCATCTGCCCGGAGGAATGGTGTACATTCCTGACAGAAGCCTGTCTCCACCCATGTTCTACCCACACACATGCTCACCACTGCCCGAGGAAGGGTGTACATTCCTGACGGAAGCCTGTCTCCACCCCTGATCCACCCACACACATGCTCACCACTGCCCGAGGAAGGGTGTACATTCCTGACGGAAGCCTGTCTCCACCCCTGATCTACCCACACACATGCTCACCACTGCCCGAGGAAGGGTGTACATTCCTGACGGAAGCCTGTCTCCACCCCTGTTCTACCCACACACATGCTCACCACTGCCCGAGGAAGGGTGTACGTTCCTGACGGAAGCCTGTCTCCGCCCCTGTTCTACCCACACACATGCTCACCACTGCCCGAGGAAGGGTGTACATTCCTGACGGAAGCCTGTCTCCACCTCTGATCTACCCACACACATGCTCACCACTGCCCGAGGAAGGGTGTACGTTCCTGACGGAAGCCTGTCTCCACCCCTGTTCTACCCACACACATGCTCACCGCTGCCCGAGGAAGGGTGTACGTTCCTGACGGAAGCCTGTCTCCACCCCTGTTCTACCCACACACACACACATGCTCACCAGATAGGTTGGAACCAGTTGGGCCAATTCCTCCCACCGTCATTTGCTTAATGTACTGACTTTCTTTGGCCTTATCGCTGGCAAATCTTATTTCCCACTGTATCGGGTGTGTATCGGGTGTGTTTACTTTCACCTCTTAGTTTTGTTTCACTGGGGAGGGGTAGTGGGGAAGGAGCAGCTCACGCCAGGAAAGCTTTGTTAAAGCGGATTCCGAATCCCGTGGAGTCTCAGTCGCCATGGCACGTCTCTGTCAGTACCTGTGCTGACTTTATTTCCTAGATGATTTATTCCTTTATTTTATGAGACCTTCTGTAGGGAGTTTTTATTAACTTTGGTGACATCTAATGGTGACAAAAGAGAAAAATAATGGCATTCTATGTTTTTGCTGAATCCAGCCAGTTGCATTATAGATTAGATGGAATTTATTACATGGGGACCAAAAGATCGGAAATTTCTAGGTTATTGCATTGAGTTCGTTTGGGGAAACAGGTTAGTTTAGAAATAAGTGTAGCGTTTGGACTTGGCCTTGTTTGCAAAATATGTTATTACCTTAGCTCCTTTTGTTTCAGATTGTCCTCAGGCTACCAGCCCTTTTGCTGTCCTGTGTGTTTCTTTTGGGTGGGGGAAAATTGACAGGGGTGATCACTTTTTATGCCTTCATAAATGCAGTATTTCATTGAAATCAGGATGGCTCAGGTTGCAAGTACTGGCAAATCCAGCATTTAGGACAGGTGCTAGAAATGCCTCCCTGCTGTCCCTGGGTGGACAAGCCTTCTGGGAATCACTTATCACTGATGTGGTTAAGATTTGCCAGTGAATGTCCACTGTATCAGGCATCATGTCATTTTGTTAAATTTTTTTCAGATACATGTTTCTCATTTAAAACACACAGCCACATCTCATTTAAAACGTGCACACACACACACACATGCACACACATAGGGTTCCTTCTCGTGTCTGTTTCAGAGAGGGTGAAGCTGTGCTTTTCTGGAGGTTGCTTGCGGAGTCGTGTGGCAAGGGAGGGTGGAGTGTGGGTTTATAGCCACCTCTCTGAGCCCGGTGTTTTTATCCTTAACCATTATGCCACCCCTGTGACTTCTGTCTGAAGTCGTTTCTCGCCCAGCTAGGTAGTCAGACACATGGGGTATGTAGTCATGAAGGCCTAGGAGTTGTCATCAGGTATGAGTGACCGTGAGAAGCGACTGAGAGATCACTGAGGCTTTGCCACCGGTGATCCTCCATCCAACTTTTGTTAGAACCTTCATCTCCTCCATGGATTCTTCCAAAGAGCTGTTGTCCTAAGTTACTGTTATCGAAAGGGCAATGTAAGAGGAGGAAGAGAGCGGGGGTTAGGTTCTGAAAGCTTTTTCACTGGCGGTGTGATGTCGCTACGTCTGTAAATGTCCCCTGCAGCTAGTTTCCTCATTTATTCATTTTATGAAAGAAGCATTTATGTATTACCCATTTTTGTGTTTGTTCTAAGTCCTTTATAAATATTTAATCCTCATGACCACCCAGTGAATTACCTGCTCTTACTATGCCCATTTCACAGCTGAGGGAAACTGAGGCACAGAGGGATTCATGCCCTGTTCCAAGGCATGCAGCTACAAGTGCAAGCTGGGACTCCTTCCCAGACGGTCAGGCGTCAGGTCCTGCTCCTGGTTGCCTCTTCGTGGATCCGTTGTTAGTTTATTCACTAAACAAACACGTATTACATCACACTCCATGTCAGTGCTGGGGGTGTAGCAGCAGAGAGCCAGTCAGATGCCATGGCCGGAAGGAACAGACACTGTGGCGGTGTGGAAGTATTTTGAAGAATGTAGAGAGGGAAGCACATTCAAGACATGATTTTCGATAGTAATAGACTCCTGTCTTCTCTGATTATAGAACGTTCACTTTCCATTTTGTCACAGATTAATTATAAGTCACGTGACTTATAATTAATATTATAAGGGAAGTGAATTAAAGGAATGTCCTAATATTCTGTTTTGGTTTTTAAAAATTTGATTCAAAGGCTATAGAAGAATTTGGACTAGCCAACTTTTCTGCTTAGTTCAAACCACCCCTGTCTTTTTTCTTGTTGAATTAGCAAAATAACTGGCTTTGTGTTTGTTTACTGAGTTGCTGATTAAACAGGCTTTTTGAATTACCCCATTATCTGCTTGATTAACCCTTTTTTTTTTGAAATGGAGTCTCAGTGCACCCAGGCTGAAGCACATGGCACAATCACAGCTCACTGTAGCTTTGAACTCCCAGGCTCGAGTGATTCTCCCTTCTCAGCCTCCTGAGTAGCTGAGACCACAGGCATGTGCCACCATGCCGGGCAAACTTTTGTATTTTTTTGTAGTGACAGACCTCGCTGTGTTTCCCAGGCTAGTAAACCTAATTTTTAATTGCTATCTTTTTTTCTTCTCGAGATGCTGCCCAGTACAAGTACGGCAAGAACCGGGTAGAAGCAGATGCCAGGCGGCTACAGACCAAAGAAGAGGAGCTGCTGAAGAGGAAGGAAGCCCTGCGGGACAGGCTGGCCCAGCTCCGCAGAGAGAGGAAAGAGCTCCGAGCTGCCATGGACGCCAGCGCCGGTAGGGAGGGTCTGGGGTCGGGTGACTGCCCGGGGAGGGGTTCGTATCAGACACCGCACGTTTCGTTCTGCTCAGGACCTGACCCACACGCCGCTCATGGAGGCAAGGGAGGTGCTGAGGGACCTGCCCCAGCTTCCGGCGCTGACAGCAGAGATGGCCTGGAGGATGGCCCGTCTCCACAGGGCTTGGTAGATTTGGTCACTGTGTCGGAGGGATCCTCTGGATTTCTCCACAGGAGGGTAGCCCACAGGGGTGAGTCATTTTCAGAAGTCCAGGCAAGGCAAGATGGCGCTGCAGGGGTAGAAGCCCCTCATTTCTTGAGAAGGGACAGGCGAGAGCAAGGCAGCATCTGTCCTGGAATGCATCGGGGAAGAGGCCAGGCCAGTGGAATACAGATGCCAGAGAGGGACTGAGGGCAAGGGTGCATTCCCACGAACTGAGTCTGGAGCCAGAGTGGCACCCCTGGGCCAGGCGTGTGCATTCCTGCTGGCGGGAGCTGGTGCTCAGCTCCTGACCCTGGGGCAGCACGGCTTCCATAGGCGTGGCCTCCCTTCCAGCCTGGCGCTCAGACTGCGGAACACCGGCTCCCGAGATTGAGACTGTACTAGCCTGGGCTGGGTCGGGGGCTTCAGATGCCGCAGAGGTCTGCGCCGCCCAGAGAGGAATCGGCAGCTTTCCTGTGTCCGGCTGTGCAGGGAGGAGCTGATGCACCCCCAGCCAGCAATGAGCAGCTCCAGCCTTTCTGGACTTTGTGCCTCAGTGATTTGATGAAGGGAAATGCTTTCGGAGTTTAGAAGAGGGGAAGGCAGGTGTCGGCCGGGCAGGTGAGGCTGACCCTGCAGGAGGAGCCAGGATGTGGCCTGCAGTCTGAGACTGACCCAGGAGGAGGCTAGGGCAGAGAATGGGGTGGGGCATTGAGTCTCCTTTGTGTTCCAAGCTTCCAGGATAGTGGAGATGCAGGGGGGCTGGAGGTGCTTTCGGCTTTGAAAACAGAGAACCTTGCCTGCTGGCCAGCACTGGCCCTGGCCCTGGCCCTGGGTGCCAGCCTGTTCACTCCTGGGATTGGTGTTCTCATCTGTCCAGTGGGTCCATCTTAGGTCACTGCAGCAAACCTCAAATATGTGAAGTGAATATGCCTTAAAGAAATGTATGCCATGTCCAGTAGGGATGCGAGCTGTGCTACTGTTCATTGCCACAGGGGCGTGAGCTGGCGGAAGGACTGGTGGAGCATCAGGGAAGGACAGTGTCACAGTTCCAGGCAGTGGCACCTTCGGGAGTTGTGGAGTTTAGGGGCCACGTTTTAGAATGAGTACACTGGAGTACACTGAGGCCCAGAGCCATCTGCTGCCGGCCTTGGGGAGAATGAGCATCTCCTGTTTCCTGGGAGGCCAGCTGCAGCAAAGGGCAGTGGCTGGGGAAGGACTCTGGTCCCTTAGAGAACTGCTGAATTTAAGTTTTGCAGCGAGGACCTAAATCAGGGGAGCTCAGCCTAAACACTTCACGGAAGTTCTTTTCGGGACCAGGTGCCTTCTCTGTTGTTTGGAGAGTGTCTGCTGTGGGAGTAACGGCGTTTCTGGGAATTCCAGGCAGGAAGCCGCAGGCCGTCCTGGAGGAGAAGCTGAAGCAGCTGGAGGAGGAGTGCCGGCAGAAGGAGGCGGAGCGCGTCAGCCTGGAGCTGGAGCTGACAGAGGTCAAGGAGAGCCTGAAGAAGGCGCTGGCGGGCGGGGTCACCCTGGGGCTGGCCATTGAGCCCAAGTCAGGGACGTCGAGTCCACAGGTATGTGTCCTGCCAGTTCACCTCGGAGGCTGGCGTGGCCTCGCGTGACCGAGGGCTGGTGTGTCCAGAGCGGATGTGGCGTCAGATGTGGCTCGGGCGTAGCTTGTGTGTGGCCCCTTAGCGTGCCCAGCAGAACACAGTTCACGTGTTAGCATGAGACACTTGGATCAGCCAGGCGCTGTGTTCCTGACATGCTGCTTTCTGTCTCTCGCTGAAGTGTTAAAAGGTGCGGAGACACAGTCTGCGTCTTTCCCCTTCGCACAGTCTGTTTGGAACAGATCCGGTCCTCCTGTGATGCCAGTTCAGTAGGTAGCTAGTGCTTATAAACTGTCTAGCATGCCTGAGAGTTAAGCTAGGGGCTGGGGAAGCGGAAAAAATGAAGTGGTCTGTGTCCTCTTAGAATCGAGCAGAACAAACGGGGGTCCTCTTCCACGTGGGCCATCCCGTCAGTGGTTCCTCTCCACCCCTTCAGCTGAGATTGCTGAAAACTAAGATGTCCTTTCCACTTGGTCATTCTGTTCGGTCTCCTATCTCGCGAGTTGGATGCCAGCACTTCCATTGAGCGAGGGAGGCATTGGGCGCAGAGAAATACACGTGCCTGTAGAGCAGACAGAGCAGGCAGCAGAGAGGGACAGCTAGACTTCAGTCCCTGTACTGGCTGACACCCTGCGGGCAGCCCCCCACCCACCGCACCCTGAACACTCTCATTCTAGGTCTTTCTTTCCAGACCCCTCGGTGAAATGCTGAGCCTGGTTGAACCCACCACCGCCCCTCCACACAAGCCTGGGGCGGGTTTGTGGGGAAGATTTACACATTTCTGGGTTGATGGCAGCCCTGAGTTTCAGTCACCTGCTGAACCCTGTCGGGTACCCCCTGCACTGCCTGCTCCTCCTTACCCTTCCCTTCTCCTCCAAGCTCCCCCATCTCCACCCATTTCCTGTGTCACCCCAGTGATCATCTCCACCTCAGAGGACAACCTCCCTCCCAAATGCAGAGCTGAGCAAGCAGCCAGGTCACTGATCTATCCCCAGACCACAAACCCAGCCACGCATGCATGGCTCCTTAAAGTGTTGAAGAGGCGGCTGTGTGGCCACACAGGCCACGGCTTAAAACCACTTGACTTCTCCAGGCCCCGAATTTGTCATCTATAAGATGAGAAAACAATAGTGCCTGCTGCGTAGGACTGTACATGCAGAGGCCCTGGGCGCAGCGCCCCACCGAAGGGCCTGTGTTCATTCATTCACACTTCCTGAACGCACATGCATTCATTCACTCATTCCTTCCACTCATCCAACAGTGGCATGCTTATATCATTATATACAGTACTGTTATATATTACATAAAATCATTGAATTCATTCAGCAATTATATATTATGTGTAAAATACAATTATCTATTTATACGACATACGTACTAGTTCATACATAACGGTGTGTATGTGTACACACATATGCATATGCTGTGTTTCTTTTTGAACTCCCGGGCTCAAGCGATCCTCCCACCTCGCCTCCTGAGTTTCTGGGGTTACAGGCAGCGGGGACCATGCCTGGCCCACATTCTGTGCTTCCTCTGTGTGCTAGAAACTATTCTAAGCCCACGGGTGTGACAAGATAGGTGAGAATCCCTGTTTCATGGAGCTTGTAGTCGCCTGAGGGAGGCAAAGCAATAAAACACATTGGCGTCAGATGTGGCGCACAGCGAAGCAGGGCTGCGGAGGAGGGGTGCAGGTGGGGTTCGAATCCCGGGGCTAGAGGGTGCCTTGGGTGTCCTCAGCCCCTCATCCAGCATAAGTGGGGACAAGAGCGTGGCGGGGTCAGGTGCAGTGACAGTGGCAGTGAGGCTGTGGGCATTGGCTGGCACAGGCCGGGTCTACCCTTGCTTCGTGGAGCCCTATGGCCTTCCATCTGTGGTGATCTGGGCAGGAGTGCACACTGTCCCCGCTGCTTCTTGTCCTGCGTCCTGTGTGAAGGGTGGGGGCAGGAGGGGTCTGAGGAGCTGTCCCGCCCTGTTGTCTGGTCCTGTCTGAGCAGAGGAGCTGGGTTTCCTAGGCTCTGGTCAGTGCCTTGATCACACCCTCCCCTGCCTTCCAGACACCTGGGAGATCCTTCTCCTGTATCTTCAGCTTTTCTAAATGCTTTTTCCAAGCATTTAAGGATTCTCTAGCTGGATCCATCTTTAAAAAAAGAAGGTTCTTCCTGGCCTCCTGCTCCCTCTGGTGAATGTGCCGTTGCCCTGCATTCTTGCCTTGCCTTCCGAGGTGAACTTGGGAAGCCGTTGTCCATGCTGGCAGTGTCGTCTGCCCCCGCAACGCCTCCACATTCTGGGTGTGGCTTTCGTCATGGTGACCCTCGGTGTTCCCATCCAGCAGATAGGCTGGTCCTCACTCCCCAGTTCCAGTGCCCTTCGACCCAGCTGCCCACTCGCTTCCTCTGTGGCGGCTCCACAGTCTTCCCCCGCCCCTGGAGCTTCCCTCGGGCCCCTTTCCAGCTCCTGCTGTCCCACCCTCCTCGAGTCTCCTTTGCCTGAAGTGCTCTGCAGGGCCCGGCCTGGCCGGCTGCTCCAGCTGTCCCCGCTCGGTCCACCGTGCTTTGCGACTTCCCTCTCTTTTGAGGGAGGTTGTCCTTGGTGCCATTCTCTGTCCCAGCATCTGGGGAAGCACTATGTGCCCCTGCTGCCCAGGCCACGTCCTCAGGAGAGTGGCTTGCTGGGTGGACCCCTCTTAAGATGCAGGTCTCTGGGTCTCCTGCCCCTTTGCTCACAGCCTGGCCTGGCCTTTCCCGGACAGTCATCAGCATTCCCTTCTGTTCACTACCCCTACCCCGAGCTCCCTCCCCAGCAGCCAGGGACCGCCACAGCATAGGTCAGGTTGACTTCCTGGGGACTGTGGTCAGTAAAGCCCACAGGGGAGCCTGAGCTGCCCATTTCCATGGTCATTGAAACACTGTTCTGAAACACTGTTCCGTATACCCTGAGCAGTATTTTTACATAACACATTTTGGCAGGAATCCTGAAGCATCTCTTCCTTGGAGACTTCATTTGAGAGAAGGCTCAGCAGACTGCAGCGTTTTTTCCCAGAGAACAGTTGGGGATCCCATATGGAAGAGCCAGCGATGAGGGCCTCGGTGGCTCAGGACACGTGTGGTTCTATTTTCAGCCTCCTTTGGCATATGGAAGCTGCCTTAAACACTCAGACAGCCTCCGTGCTCACGGGCGCCTGTGTTTCTCCCGCCAGCCCCGCACAGTGGGAGCCAGTGCTGCCCTGACTCCAAGTGCTGGTGCCTTCTGCTGCCTGGCATCTCTAGGGCGCTTGCCCCAGAAAAGCTCTGAAAACCGTAAAGCACTGCACAGAGGGACCGAGGAGAGGTGGCAGCAGCTGATGGAAGAGCCCAGCTTTGAATGCAAAAGACTCGGGCAGGAATCGCACCCTCACCGCCTGGCACGTCTGGGAGTCAGAGCGCCCCTTGGAGCCTCCACCTGCCCCACGGAGCCTCCGCCCTCCCGGCTGTGAATGTTGGGAGGCGCTCTGGGGCTGAGACACTGACCCCCTGGTGGTCCTTGCTGTTGCTGCTGCTGTGATTTTTGCCCACTTCCAAAACTTATTTCTTCCTTGAGATAAATGATTTTCCTGCTGGAGAGTACTGGTGGCCTAGAAACCACTCCTCATGCGGGTTTTTCTCTCTGTTAAGTCTCCAGTGTTCAGGCATCGGACCCTGGAAAACTCGCCCATCTCCAGCTGTGACACCAGTGACACTGAGGGCCCCGTGCCGGTGAACAGTGCAGCTGTCCTGAAGAAGAGCCAGGCGGCCCCGGGCAGCTCCCCCTGCCGAGGACACGTGCTGCGGAAGGCCAAGGTGAGCCCTGGCTTCTGGGGCCGCTGGTCCGGGGGTGTCCAGACGATTTAGGCTCCCAGGCGTTCTCAGGTGTGAATGAGGAGCCTGTCCATCTTCCTACTCCCTCCACTTGGTGTTCAGCCTTTGGTGGACATCTTGGAATGGGCACTTCTCCAGTCCTCCCCACCCCGCAGACCCTCCTTTAGGAACTGGGGTCTCCAAGGTGCACGGTGACCCAAAGGTGCTGGCCGTTTAGCTTCAGGGCCGCCGGTCAGCTCCGGGTTTATCTCCAATGCAGGCAGGCTCTGGGCTTCTCTGGGCTCGTTTTCTCACTGGTGGGGTGGAGATTGGACCAGGCCACCTCTGAAGTCCTTTTTGGCACTTGGATGTGGGATTCTTTAGAAAAACAAAGAAGAGGGCTCAGGCATCAGCTTTTCCCCAGCGCCATCAGAGCATGAATCTGGCCTCGGAGGAAGCTTGGCTCCCGCCTGTGGCGGCTTCCAGTCTTGTTGTGGGATTAGCCACTAACAAGTTTTGATGCTCAACTTGAAAACCTCGGACATTCTGAAACACAATTTCTAGTTGATCCGAGCAAACCGGTCCTGGCTGCAGTGAGGGAAAGTATCGCGTGTGCGCGCACAGGGTGAGATGGCAGGAGCTGGGAAGACACAGGAGTGGGGTTCCCGCAGCCCCGAGGGGCGGGGACCGGGGTCCTCCCTGTACCGGCTCTGAGGGCTCCTCTGATTGCCAGAATTAACTTTTCTTTTTTTTTTTGAGGCAGGGTGTCACTCTGCCCCAGGGGTACAGTGGTGCCACCACAGCTCACTACAGCCTTGACTTCCTCAGTTCCGGTGATACTCCCACCTCAGCTTCCCAAGTAGCTGGGGGAACACCATTATGCCCAGCTAATTTTTTGCATTTTCTGTGGAGATGGGGTTTGGCAGTATCGCCCAGGTGGGTATCCAGCTCCTGAGCTCAGGCGGTCCTCTCCCCTCCCACGGTGCTGGGATTACAGGCGTGAGCCACTGTGCCCAGCCTGGCAGTCTTTGCAGCTTTTGGAGCCCATTCCAGGTTGGCTGGGAATAGGTATTTCCTGCGGGGCTGGTGAGTGAGAGATGGGAACTTGAGCGTCGCCCACCTGCTCTGCTCTTTGGGGTGCTCACAGGAGGCCCCTGGGAAGCATGGCTGTCTACACATGCTGCCACGTATGTTCCGCAAACAAGCCTAGGAAGCACAGTCACATTTCCAAGCCCAGGTGACACTGGTCACAGAGTAAGCGACAGGATGAGAACTGTAGACACTGCTGAACTCAGAACAGGGCAAGAAACAGAATCTGCAGGTTAAGATGTCACTAGAGGCAGGGACATGAAACCCGGAGCAGCCCGGCGCCTGCCCTCGGGCCTCTCTCAGAGCAAACCGCAGTTCCCACACCCGAGGTCTCTTGGCACACGGCCTGGGCGGTTCTGAGCCGGGAAGCCCTGGGGCATGGGACTGGAAGCTGGCTCACTTTCCAGAGCCCTCTCTCGTGCTCAGCGCTCCTCACCAAGAGTTGGAAGGTATTTCAGGAATACTGCGGCTGGGGTCACGTGTCCCAGATCCAGAAATGTCAGACCCCCTGGGCCTCAGACAAAGGTGGGAGGCAGATGAGACCAGGTTTATGACACCCAAATGCATTCACGTTCTCAGTGTCTGCAGGCCGCACCACCATCCCCACTTCCTACTGAGGTCCCTGTCCCTATCGTCAAACCCCAGGAAAACCCGCTCAGTCAGGCCCCTTCTTTCAGTGAGGCCATGCACAGGATTCTCAGCTGGAAGGACGAGAGGCTCCCACTGTTGACTGGACGTGTGAATGCATTTGGGTGACATAAACCTGGTCTCATCTGCCTCCTACCTTTTTCTGAGGCCCAGAGGGGTCTGACTTTTCTGGATGTGGGACACGCAATCCCAGCTTCGGTATTCCTGAAATACCTTCCGACTCCTGGTAAGGAGCGTTGAGTACGAGAAAGGGCTTCCAGTCCCATACCCCAGAGCTTCCTGGCTCAGAAGGGGATCAGAACCACCCTTCATCTGAGCAGGTTCTGGGCACGCCGTGTGCCAAGAGACCTCCAGGCATGGGAGCTGTGGTTCCGCTCTGAGAGGGGCCCGAGGGCAGGCTCCGGGCTACTCCAGGTTTCATGCCCCTGCCTCTAGTGACACCTTGACCTGTAGATTGTTTTCTGCCCTGCTGAGTTCAGTGGTGTCTACAGGTTCTCAGCCTGTCACTTACTCTGTGGCCAGTGTGACCTGGGTTAGAAATGTTGCCATGCTTCCTAGGCTTGTTTGCTGAACATACGTGGCACCATGTGTAGGCGACATGGGCGTTTTCCTGTCTCGGACGCCCCCTGCCTGGTAGTAAACTGGTAATCCGTACAACAGAAGACTGCCCATGAGTGCCAGCCTCGTGACTTTGTCCTTTGGTGCCTTCTCTGCTCTCAGGGGCCACATGGCTGTCCAGGGAGGCTGCGGAAGGGCTGGAAGGCGTGAGCCGTGCCCTGCTAGCCATCCTCCCCTTGGCAGAACACGTGTGCCAAGAGCCTGCGAGTGTCTCCAGCATGGTCTCGTTATGGTGCTGGTTTGGTGTTTATTCCTGCCAAGTTTGCTAATGCTGTGCATTTAACCATGAATTGAACTTGAGCTTTGGATTTAGAAAAGGTGAGAAATTGTTCATGGTATGCAGCATGCAGAGACCTGCTGTGCACTCGTGACCCAGTTAATGAGCCCCTGGCAATCCAGGGGGAGTCAGACACCCGCCTCCCCACACAGGGTCAGCAGGCACAGGGAAGAAAGCCCGTTTGGCGCCCAGGCGCGTGGTGTGCCGGGTGCTGTGCTCAGGGCTTTCACAGACCCTTTCTCCTTTGATCTTCCCAATCGTGCTTTGAAGTCCTTGGTGGGACTCACATCGTGCTAAGGCTCAGAGAGGTGACGCGACCCCTCCAAGGCCTCACAGTGGCTGAGGCACAGAAAGTCTGGCCCTGGCATCTGTGCCCTCTGCTCTCCTCCTCCCAAGCCACCCATGCCAGGGAACTGAAGGCCTCCATCCTGCATGATGTCTGCCGCTGTGCTGGCCTGAGTCTGTTCTCTTGCCTCCTCTTTCTGGAACTCAATCCCATGGCCAACCCTCCTTTCAAACCCACATAGCTCTAGAGGCCATGAGTAGCCCAGGCCTCTGCCTCTGTGCAGCTGCGGTGGGTGCGGAGGACCCAGAGGTGAGTGGCTGGAAAGGAGGAGGTGAGGGCGAGTGTGAGGGCACCCGTCAGGGCCCTGCTGCTGTGGCGCGGCTTGTCGGAAAGCACAGAACCAGCACGGGAGATGGCAGCATTGCCTCCGGAGTCAGGGCAGGAAAGGGCACGGGGCTAGGGAGAGTCACTGAAGCCTGCTCCTCAGGATGCATGAGGTTGGCCAGGTGACACAGGGTGGAGAACGGGCATGGGCGAACCTGCCACGGAAGCTGGAGTGGGCCTGCTGGGAGGCAGGACAGCAGAGTGCAGGTGGGAGGCTCTGCTGTGGAACAGGTTTTGGGTCCCAGCGTCATCACTTTGGACCTAAGGCAAGTCACGAAGCCTCTGTCGCCTTATTGATTGATTGATTGAGACAGGGTCTTGTTCTGTTGACCAGGCTCTAGTGCTGTGGCGATCATGACTCACTGCAGCCTCAGACTCCTGGGCTCAAGCAGTCCTCTCACGTCAGCTACCGAGTAGCTGGGACTACAGATGTGTGCTACCACATGCAGCTAATTTTTGTATTTTTTGTAGCGTTGGAGTCTCTCACTATGTTGCCCAGGCTGGTCCTGAACTCCTGGTCTCACGTGATCCTCCCGCCTCATTCAGCCTCTGGAAGTGCTGGGATTCCCCGCACCCACCTGTCTCCTCACTTATGAAGTAGGAGTACTGTCCACCTTGCAGGACTGTTGGCAGACCAGACAGCTGTGCCCGGAGCATGGCACATGCCTGCCCAGTGCCCACTGTCTCTGCTCTCACGTTGCTGGTAGACTGAGGCCAACACTCAGGGCCTGTGGATGGAACCAGTCCTGCCGCTCCACTGACTAGATTTAAGCATCCACATCTTTTGAAAAGAACATTTTTCTATTGTGGTAAAATAAACACAACATACAATTGACCATTTGAAGCATTTTTGAGTCAGTATTTCGGTGGCATGAAGCACAGTCCCCTGTTACACGGACATCACCACCATCTTTCTCCAGAACATTCTCATCTTCTCAAACTAAAGCTCCGTCTCCATTAAACGCTAACTCCCCATCCCCCCACCGGGCACAGAGAAGAAAGCCCCTCCTTGGCAGCCAGGCTCGTGGTGTGCCAGGTGCTGTGCCCAGGGCTTTCACAGCCCTTGATATCCACTATTCTACTTTCTTACTTTCGCATTTTTTGAAATAGAGATGAGGTCTTGCTATGTCGCCTAGGCTGGTCTTAAACTCTTGGCTTCAAGCCAGACTCCTGCCTCCGCCTCCCGGAGTGCTGGGATTACAGGCGTGAGCCTTTCTATCCGTGTCAGTTTGACTCGTCTGGGTCCCTCATGTAAGTGGAATCGTCACAGGATTTATCTTTGGTCACTGGCTTGTTTTGCTGGTCACATCCTCGGGGTTTATCCAGGTTGCAGCATATGCCAGAATGTCCTTCCTTTTTAAGGCTGGTATGTGGCATCGGCTGTACTCACCATGCCGTGTGTATCCATCCATCGGCAGACATGGGGTTCCTCCACCTCCTGGCTGGTGTGAGTCATGCTGCTGTGAACGCGGTGTGCGGTGTCTGCTGGAGACCATGCTCTCCATTCTGATGGGTAAATACATACCTAGCAGTGGAATTGCTGGGTCACGGGTCATTGACCGTTGAGGTTTCTGCAGTACCTGAGCACCCACCTGTTCTGAGTAGAATGTGAATGGTGGCGTGGCTTGTCCCAGCCTGATCCTCGTGCCCTGTCGACTGACAAGATCCTCCTTTTCTCTAGGAATGGGAATTGAAGAATGGGACATAAGGGCCAGCAGGACCGCCCCAGCCTCAGAGACTGCACACCCCCTTGCCCGTGTCCTCATCTGTGTGACGGCAGAATCCTGCCCAGAGCGGCCTCCGCTGCACGACGCCAGAGGCTTCATGACTGGGTGCCAAGGCCAGCCTCTCGCCCAGGCCCACTTGTATTCTTTCTACTGTATACTGGCGCCTTTAAAAAAGATTTACGTGTAAGATTCTGGTTTCCAACTGTATTCGTTAAAAAACAAAAACAAAAGTGATGGAAAGGTGTTTGAAAGGGTGCTGTGAGGAGAGGTGACATCTTTCTAACCAGTTAAGCCATTGCTTTCACCGATTCCAGCCCAGCCCCGGACTGAGGGTGGATGGACCCGTGAGCCCCGAATGAAACCTTGGATTTTGCGCAGAAGAGTTTGGATCCCTGGCTGCTCCCGGCACGAGTGTGGCTGGCACGTGGGCACTCGGCTTCCACCACCAGGAGGGCCAGGGGCTTACGTAGCCCTGATGTGGACTTTAGGTGTGGGCGTCCCCTCCCCACGTGCCCGTCCTCCTTGGCATCAGCGGTAAAAACATGAGAAAATCGCGCTGTGAAACATTTTTTACCTTTTATTATTTTTTTGGACAGATGCTTTTGTCACCAAGACATGAAAAGCTGCCCTTCTTCTTAACCGTTTTTTTTAAGAATGTCTCTTTTTATTGTGTGTCACACTTAGATCTAAGGATTTTTCAGAGGTTTCTTATTTTATTAATGATGTGTGCTGCTTTTGATGGGCAGCAGAGGGTTTAATCCTTCACGAACATGTGCCCTCCGCCCCCTCGCCCTGGCACCCCCAGCCCTTAATCCACATTGGAGCTGCAGAGCCTCCTCACAGAAGGGGTCTCTGGGGCAGGGCCGGCTCCTCGCCACTGTATGGGACGTTTACTGCCACGCGGGGCCGGAGCGGTCCTTTGAAAGGGAAGCAAGATCTGGAATTTGTCACTCACAGAACATCTTAGAGCAAAAGGCAGGAATTCCAGGGCCACCTGCCCCTCCCCCACTCCAGCTTGTAAAGTAAAACCCCAAGTGTGCTGGTGGGCCTGGCCACGCACCCTCTCTCCTGAGTGGGGCGGGCGCGGGGAGGGAATCTTCACTTGCTTGCCTTATGTGCAATATCTCTTGGAGAACGCAGATGCCTAAGGCGTAAAGAAAAACCGAGTTGATAGTTGGGGCTGGTTTCTCCCCCCTGGGTTTCAAAATCAGATCACCTTCTTGGTCTCCCGGAGACCGCCGTCAGGAATTCTCCATTTTGGGAATGTGCAGCCACTGGTGAGTAAATAGCAGCCCCCGAAAGCCTGTGCAGGCAGGTTCACGGAGCCCGGGCCTGGCAGCAGCCGCCGCTGCCCTAGCGTAGAATCTGGAGGTGCTGCGCTTGGCGCAAGCCTCCTGTCCACCTTCCAGCATGTCCTCCTCATCACACACAGGAAGAGACGGCAGGCAAACACAGCCTCCTTGACTCCCCCGACACTTTCAGAGCCCATCCTGGCGTCAGGCAAACACAGCCTCCTTGACTCCCCCGACACTTTCAGAGCCCATCCTGGCGTCAGCTGTGTGGTGCACAGGACTTTACAGTTAGGATTCATGTTTAATGTCGTAGCACTCGAGGCCTGCGAGGGCCATGTTGGATTGCTCGAGTGGGAAGGCGGTCTCCCGTGTATAAGAAAAGTTTTACAACAAGAATTGGAAGCTGCTTCATTTGAGTCCGCCTGAAACTTGAATTGATTACAAAGCCATCTGCCAGGAGCGTTTGGGGTTCCTGAGCCATCAGCTGGCGTTCCCCGTCTGACGTGCCTTCCTCCCAGCCTGGTCAGTGGAGGCCCATCACACCAGCATCTATGACGCCAACTTCCCACTAGGACATCCAGGCAGGGGGGTGCAGCCGCCACATGCCCCAGGGCCATCCACTGTGCTGACATACAGGAGCGTTCTCTCCCGTGGTGACCTTCCACCATCACAGGCAGCCGGGACCGCTTCTGTCACACACACACAATTTTCTGTGAAGGGAAAGAAGCTTGCTCCACCTTAGAGTTTTGCTGCCTTCAGGTCAGTTCTCCAGGTTGAGGCCCTGGGGCCGCTCTGATTGGCAGCCTGCTTTGCCCACAAGAACTGTGTGCGGCTTTGGTGGTCAGTGAAAGAAGGGGGAAGTGGCCAGCCTGATGTCTCGATCCTGGCCCAGCACAGGTGGGCAGCAGCAAGCTGGTGGGTGAAGCGTGAGCCGCGTGCCACATGCCAGTCCTCAGCTGTCACTCACCAGCTTCCTCACCAGGCAAGGAGGCCCTGGAGCCTCCACAAGAACTTGCCGCAGGGCACAGCCAATTGGTGCTAGACTCCCAGCATGCATTTTTGGTTTAAAAACCCAGGTTTGTAATTCACTTCCACAACCATAAGCCTTTTAAAGAGGAGGCAAACTTTGAATCCCAGCGTGGTCCGTGGAGCCTTCAAAATGGGTGCTCTGGAAGGGGGGCCCTGACATTGGAGTCCTTTGAGGGCGGATGTTCCCTTGAAATTTTGCATTTGATCAGAAAGTTTAAAGCATTTACTTCACAATAAGTTATTTATTTGTATATGTTCAATCAATGTAGTTTTTAATTTATATCTGTACATATTAGACACACGAGCCATCTTGCCAGAATTCTGACAGTGATCTCATTTCATTACCCTCCCAAAACATGCCCCAGGAACAAGCTCCCCTGCTGCCATGGCAGTGGCCAGTGTGACTATCTGACTTTGTGATGAAGCCAGGCTGGGGGCAAGAAGCCCGATAGGCAGGCCAGGGTCCCTGGAGAAGCTGGGTTGTGGGGGGCAGAGGCCTGACAGGCAGGTCAGGGTCCCTGGAAGAGCCAGGCTTGGGGGGTGGAGGCCCGATAGGCAGGCCAGAGTCCCCGGAGAAGCCCCATTTCTTTGCAGTGTTACCATTACTTAGCAGATCGTTGTGTTTGCAGGGGGCTGGCCACCTGTACTAGGGTGCTGACCAGATTGCGAGGAACACAGTGGTCATGCCATGGGGCTGGCCAGAGGACGGGTCAGGTGTGGAGGCTGGCTGACCCCCGCGGGGCTCGGGGCTCCTTCCATTCTCACCCTAAGCTACAGTGTCTTCAGGGCTTCGCTCCTGCCTCTATTTCGGTAAGGTGTCAACAGCCTTCAACCTCCATTTGTATATTTTTATAATGTACTTAAATCACGAACCAACTTTTTTCATAGAAACAACTCTCAGGTTAGATGGCTTGTTTTGGTCCCCGTGACTTGGGCACAGGCGTGGGCCACGGCTCCCTCTTCCCAGAATCTCGGGCAAGGCCCATCTGTCTGTAAGGCTGGTAGTCCCCGCCCTCGGCTTCCAGAGGCTGCGGAGGCTGCAGGGTAACCAGTGTGGGTCTGCTGAGTCACCCCAGGCATCATCCACAGGGCCGTTCCTGAGCCTTGCCCTTGGGTCTGGCGGGAGGCCATTTCCCAGGCTGGGTCAGTCCCACCTCACCCCTCCATACCTGTGCCCTGGCATGGCCAGGCCTAACCTTCCCCTTTATCTTATTCGTCCCAGAGTTATCATTGGCCGTTTCTAAATAGACAGAACTACCCTAAAAGGTGGAGATGTACTCCTTTTGAACAGTTTGTTTCAGAAAGTGGGTCCTTGGCTCTGAGGCCACCCCCAGGAAGGAGTTTGAGGTTCATTGTCATCATGGCCACGGTTTGGGGCTTGTGCGTGGTATTCAAAGGGCAGCACTGAAGCCAGGGTGAGGTGTAGGGGTTGTGGGCAAAGCACCCTTGCTGTGGCCACACCTTTACCTTTCCACAAGAGGCTGCTCACCCATTATTTGGGGGGATGTACATTTTGCCCACGGATGAACTTTGCTACCCAGAGTGAAGTGCTCTGTTCATGCACCTCACTCATGTCATTAGACACCTTCCGAGGATGGGCAGCCTGCAGCGGGGCTGGTGACCCCCATCCAGCAAAAAGGCACCTCGGGCCGCAGGGCAGGGCTGACACCCTGAGCTCACAGGCGGCCCCCACTGCCAGGCAGATGGCCATCCTTCAAACAGCCTCTTCAGGGAGCACAGCCCTGGAGGGCTCTGAGTATCCCCAGCAGCTTACCTAAAGGCCATGGCAACATTTAAATGTTAAACTATTGCCTTCCTCTTTTCCTCAAATAATTTTCGAATGGGAAGAATAACTTCAAGTTCATGACATAGTCTGAAAGAGGATAATTCATTTTTTCCTGTCGGGCTGGGTTCATACTGTGAAATAAACTAAAATGAAACCAAAATGCTCCTGCCGTAAGCACGTGGCATACACTGTGGAAAAAGCAAAGCCACCTCGATTTGTGAGTCCCCAAGCCATAGCAGGTGGTTCATCGTCTGTAAAGGAAGGGAAGCCGCACCCAGGAAGTGGTGGCTTCAGAGGCGCCCTCCGCCCAGAGTTCATGAAGTGCTTCCAGCTCGGTCTTCCAGAAAATCTCAGCTGTCCCGTGTACAAGTATTACCGGGTATTTTTAGTTGTAGCCATGGAAGATATTTTCAAAATGAGATCTTCAGATCATAATTCTTAGGGACCAAAGGCATTTTTAATGAGATAATCTTTCTGATTTTCTAACCGGAAAGGAAATACTCACTTTAAATTTTAACATCAACTTTTAAAGGATAGCTATTCAGAATTGATTGACCATGGTGATAAGTTGTAAAATGTTTTCATATTAAGAATGTAATTATTTCCTTATTGTATTTTTTAAAAGCTAAAGTCCTATTTAAAATTCTCTTTGAAAGAAACAGGCAAAGAAACAGCAAAGATGTTTTTTAAATTAAGTATGTTGGTAGTGCCCATTTTAAATGACTGTAAATATATTTTCACTGTTTCTCAATGTATTTAATTCATAAAGTAAAAATTTTATGGAAAGAAACTTGCAATGAAAATCCTAGTTTTCAGTCCACGGCCCCATTTTGTAGTAGCTTCACTGAATTTCCTGCTTTCCTCGTTGATTTTTCTACTGTTTCACGTGGTGTAACCAAGACTGGCGCCCCTGGCGCGCCTCGTTGTGTATGAATAAACTTCTCTCCCCGAGCCGGTGTCTTGACTGCCCTTGGCATGTGCTGCAGACTGAGAAGGGGCCCCTTTTCCTGAAGTCCTCGCTTTCAGGTGGGTGAGGGTCTCTTGCTGATATTCAACCACCTATGGGAGGAGAGGGGTCAGGAGTGACCCGTGGAGGGAGGAGGTGGGCAGATAAAGGAGCCGTGGTTTGCAGTAAAAAGTAGCTTGGAGTCCACAGACTGAACATCCAGTTCGAGAGACGTTTGTGCTCTTGCTGTGAGGCCGACTCCGGGTGCTAGAAATAGAAATGGATCGGCTAGGACTCCTGCCCTCAGGGAGCTTGCTGCAGGAAGAAGAGATGGACCAAGATCCCTGGACTGCATGACGATTTCTGGAATCATAGAGATGCTAAGTTTGAGGCTGTTGGGTAGGGTTTTTGCAGAGGGGTGGGGGTAATTTGAGCTAGGCTGTCGTGTTTAAATAGGAGTTCTGCAAGGAGAGAAGTCATTTTCCAAGCGCCCTCGGTGTGCCCTTCTTTTACGCCGTGAGCAGGGTGTCCTCCCAGACAGCGTGCGAGAAGGCCGAGCGGCCCCACGCCACCGTTAATTGTTCCGTGGTGGGCAGTTAAGTCTTGCTGGGAGAATCTGGTTAAAGCTTTTAACAGGCCATTTCTAAAGTAGTACTCCTTGTTGGCTTCTGAACAGAGGTCACGCCCTGGTAGGCTGCCAAACGGAAAGGGCGGGCCTCCAATTTCCTTCCAAACTTAGCAAGAGGACGCCAGGACTCCGCTTTGCTTTTTAACACCGTTGAGAGCGCTTAGGGATATTCATCATGTGAGCTACAGTTTCGGGAGCAGGTGACACAAAGCCGGGAGAACATAAATCAGGAGCCCAGCTCCTTAATGGGAAGCAGGGAACATGAGCTGATGTCTGTGATCCCGAAATTGTTTGATGGAAACTTCATCTGTTTTATGAGGCTGTTAAAAGTGGCTCTCCATTCATACAAAGGGACCGATTCGAAAGTAGGGCAGGAGACCTAGCAGGATTCATGAAGGCGTCAGGTGTCCACATCCTGCACGGGGGTGGGGACGGGGGCTAGTTCAGACCCTCTCCTGAACTCACAGGGTCTGGTGTATCTGGAACCCTCCTCCTCAGGGGCGGGGCTCCTCACAGCTCAGCTGTTCCCTCCTTCCTTGGGATACTGATCTTTGCCTCTCAGGGCTGCCCGGGAAGTCTTTTCCTGATGCTTTAACACTGAACACCTTGCTGACACTGGAGGGACGGCCCCTCCGAGGCTGGCCAGTTCCTAGAGGTAGTAACCCCCAGCCTTGAGCACACCTTATACCCAAACCAGGCCACCTCGCTATGGGGGTCTTGGGGCTCTCACACTCCAGGCCTCTATGCCCGCCCCGGCCCTAGTCACCCCAGCAGACCACGAGACACAGCCGACGCCGGGAGCCACCCATGGAAGGGATTGCCACCCAGCCCCAAGCCTGCTTCCCTGGTCGCAGCTGTTCCTTCCCGCAGAAACCACAGCAAAGGTTCCTGGCTTTGCCCGCACTTTCTCCTCGCTCCCTCAACCTCACAGCTGGTCTACACTTCCCTGTGTGGCCTGGTGTGGCTTAACGTGGCGTGGCCCATCCTCCTGAGAAATTTAACAAACTAGCTTGTCAGTGACAGAGGGCCTTGCCATACCCGAAGGTGAATTGAATGGATGTTTCCAAACACCCCGGTCCTTTGGAAAGGGACGGACCTGGCCGTGGCCTGTCTCAGGTCTGCAAACTGCCTGCTGTCCCATAGGGCAGGGAATAACCACTCGAAGCCTGTTCTAGAATTCAGGGAGCTGTGTGAGCTACCCAGCACGAGGCTGGCCCCAGGGGCAAGTGGACGTCCCCCACCTGGGATGCGGCCCAGCTCCTCGGCACAGTCCCAAAGGCACCGGGATGCCAGCCCTGCCGCCAGCCTCCTGCCAGGCACAGTACTCGGGGCCTTCCTGGTTGTTCAGGGATTGGGCTGACCCTCTGGTCCAGCCCTGCTGCCAGCCTGCTCCCGGGCACAGCACTCGGGGCCTTCCTGATCATGCAGGGATCGGGCCGACCTCCGGCCCGGGCTAGATCCTAAGTCGCAGCAGGAAGGCAACACGCTGCTGACTGCCCTGGAATCGGGAAATGAGGCTCTGGGGGAAGTGACTGCCTGGGAGCAAGACCAAGAGCGGGCCTGGCTGCCTCTCCCCACTGCCCTGCTTCCCACGGGACCGACCACCCGTGACCGCTGCCACACACTCAAGTTTGACAGCAAAGAGCAGGCAGAAAGCTGCTGGGCCTGCTGTGGACGCAGCAGAGCCACGGATGCCGTGGCTGCCGTGGCCCCTGGGGTCTCCGGACTCCATCCCTCCACACATTCTGATCCGCCAGTCCCGGAAGAAGGAGCTGGGGCAGCAGGCACTGCATTTTATGGTCAGTTTCAGGCCCTGAGATTATTCTGAAAATCACTAAACAAGTTATTCCCGGGCTCCTTCTATCTGTCAGGCCGCATTCGGCCCCACAGCACAAACACGAATCCCAGCTGCTCTACCCTTGTGTTCAGCCAGGCAAGGACAACTTAGAACCAGAGCGCACATTTATTCACTCAGCAAACGTATGGAGCACCTCCTCTGCTGAAAACGTGATCTTCACGTATGTAAGCTAGCACTCTGGCGGCTTCCCAGAGGAGGTGCAGGGGGCAGGGAAGTCAGCGGGCCCAGGCACCCTCCTGGCAGAGACCCTGCTCTCCCCGCCCCTCCCCCTCTGACACCCAGAGCCTGGCTCCTCACTCCCGTCCCCCAACCCCCAATCAGCAGGGACTCATCCCTTCCCTGGCTTCTCTGTGTGGCTCCTGCTGAGCCGTGAGGGGAGACAGAGCCCATCCGGGGCCATGCACCCATTGCCCCTTCCCAGGCAGGTGACTGCAGGGTGCAGCTCCTTCTCCAAGCCCTGAGGTTGAGCTGGGAAGCGGCCCTGGGCCGTGCAAGCCTGAGCTTCCATCAGGGCATGGCCCAACGGGAGGGGAGGCATTTGGGAACGGGGGTGACCGCTGAAGGCAGGAAGCCAAGGCTGTGGGCAGGGGGCAGAGAGAGCAGGAGCCGGGGAAGAGGGGTGAGGCCTGCAGGGTGGCCACAAGCTGGCCTGGGGTGGGGGCTGCTGCAGGGCCGGCGCTGTTGGCTTTGGTGGGTTTTGCCAGCTCCAGGTGCAACCTCGCAGTAAAGCCTCTTCCTAGGCGCAACCCCAGCAGTCCAGTGAGCCCAGGTTCCGGCCTGTGCCCACCCCAGAACTTTCTCTTCCTTGCCCCACGCTGTGCCCCCTGCAGGTGCCCTCTGCAGAGCTCAAGAGTCCCCTGGTGGCCAGGCGCGGTGGCTCACACCTGTAATCCCAGCACTTTGGGAGGCCTAGGCGGGCGGATCACAAGGTCAGGAGTTCGAGACCAGCCTGGCCAATATGATGAAACCTCATCTCTCTAAAAAATACAAAAATTAACTGGGCAGGGTGGCACATGCCTGTCATCCCAGCTACTCAGGAGGCTGGGGCAAAAAAAATCACTGGAATCTGGGAGGTGGAGGTTGCAGTGGGCCAAGATCACGCTGCTGCACTCCAGCCTGGGCGACAGAGTGAGACTCTGTCTCAAAAAGAAAAAAGAAAAAGCAAGAGTCTCCTGGCTCCTCCCCTCGCCACTTCCCAATACAGAACTCCCCATCTCTCTGCCCTTCCAGCCCCCACCCTGCTGCCCCCGCTGGCCTCCCTGCCACCCCTAGCCAGGCCCTGGGCCCCTGGGAGTCAGCATTTGACATCCTCTCTCTCAGTGTGCTCGGCCGAGTCCCACTCAGCCTCCTCCTCCTCGTCTCCGGCCTCTGTCCGCTCTCCCAGCCCCACCACCATTCCGGGTTCAGGCTCCTTGTACCCCACCCACCTCACTGCCTCAGTCTCTCCAGGGTGACCTGGCGTCACAGGGAAGCCCTTGGCAGGTTCTAAAACGTATCTGACCCTGTTCCTGGCGCGCTCCCCATTCTCTCCTAAGGGCCTCGCCTGCAGCCCGTTCACCAGCCCAGCTTCACCTCTCTGCTTCCATCACCCACACCTGCCCCTTCCTCCTGCCTTACGTCTGCCAACAGATCTAGACGCCCTGGGGACTGTTCTGACCCCACCCGCCCTGTGCCTCCTGGGAGAGGTGACTGGGCCTTTGTGGTGGGTGGGACTCATTGCCTTAAGAGGACCACTGCTCCTGGGCCTTTGCCTCCCACCTGTCATGAGGTGCCTTGTGGGGGATGAGACCAGGCTGTCCTCCATGTTAAAGAAACCGTGGAAAGAGTCACACTTCCTCTCCCACCCTCCCCACCTCCTCACCTTCCTCTTGGGCCTGACAGTTTTTCTACCCAGGACCCTGCGCACAGCAGCTCTTCTGTGCTGGCTCAGAGTGCTCCAGACGCTGCCTGTGAGATGGGGATAACGCCCCTGGTTGGTATTACCCTTGGGGGATGCATTGCTGGTATTCGCTGTGTGTCCCCTTCCTTTTTCCTTTGACCAAGAATCAGCCAGGACAGCTCTGCTTTCCAGGGGTGCTGCACAGGTGCCTGTCCCGATTCCTCCTCCCTCCCTGCACAGGTGTGCGTCCCAGTTCCTCCCTCCTGAACAGGTGTGCGTCCCGGTTCCTCCCTCCCTGCACAGGTGTGCGTCCCAGTTCCTCCCTCCTGAACAGGTGTGCGTCCCGGTTCCTCCCTCCCGCACAGGTGTGCGTCCCGGTTCCTCCCTCCCTGCACAGGTGCGCGTCCCGGTTCCTCCCTCCCTGCACAGGTGCGCGTCCCGGTTCCTCCCTCCCGCACAGGTGCGCGTCCCGGTTCCTCCCTCCCGCACAGGTGCGCGTCCCGGTTCCTCCCTCCCGCACAGGTGCGCGTCCCGGTTCCTCCCTCCCGCACAGGTGTGCGTCCCGGTTCCTCCCTCCCGCACAGGTGTGCGTCCCGGTTCCTCCCTCCCGCACAGGTGTGCGTCCCGGTTCCTCCCTCCT